TTGGGCTTGACTGGAGTTTTTGAAAGTGTTTGCACTAAGCTACAAGAAACAAGAAGCTGATGTGAAGTTTTGTGTGCTTTTGGGAGACATGGTCTGGACCCCAGGGAATCCTTGAAGAAAAAAAAAAAATCAAATATGTTTCCTCCAGGTAGTTAAATTGTTTAGGGAGAACGTTCTTCCAGGCTCCCTCCTGGAGGGCAAGGTCAGACTGGCCCACATGCTGGATGACACAAGGAGGGTGTGTGGAACCAGGTGTGTCAGCACCTAACACACTCCATTTTCCTTCACTGTTTTAAGTGCCAGAGTTCCAGCTATCCACAGCAGGCCAGAGACCTGCTCCCAGCCACCCTTTCTGGAACAGCAGCCTCTGATCTGTAGCTGCTGGGGGTGAGGGTGGCCACCCAGCTGAGCAGAGCTGAAGGGCACAGCTGCTTCTTACGCACTCTTGGACAATTGTCACCAGGCTTCCAGAAGAATCTATTGTGGCTAGTGTCTGAGTTTCAAAATGCATCTTTTCATGTCCCCCCAGTTATTCCCAATGGACCATCTGGGAACTTTCTAGCTTCTACGGTGTTCTTACTTTTGTCCCCTTTTTCTACACTTCTTGCAGGCTTACGCATTTTTAAAAAGTGCACTTTAATGCTAGTTTATTGGAACTGCAGAAAACGGCAGCGGCTAATGTGTGCCATTAACCCATCCTCCTTCACCAGAAATCCATCAGTCTGATGCTCTTTAGCCCCTTGCCTGGATACTAGGTTGAAAGTCACACATTCTTTCCTTTCTTTTAATGGGTCATCCTTAAAATTTGGGGTATTTTTGCCTGGCCCAACAAGATCTAAAGGTAATCAATATTCCTGACTTCCTCATGAATAATGCAAAGACTGCAGAAGGCCTAACTTTGATCTTGTTCTCATTCTCACACGAAGTTATTTTGCTCTGTTGTTTTAGTTCCTCTTTCTTTTTAACATTTCTCTTAAACCACTGTCTCTCACTCTCTCTATACACACGCGCACACACACACATGCACATACCTGTATTTAAATTCTCCTTATTGTGAAGTAAGTGCAAAGTACTTTATATAGAGCAAGAAGCAGACTAAACCACATGCAAACATATTTTGTTAGAACTTCATGCAATTACCAATATTTGAGAAAATTTTAGCTAAAAATTCATGTCTCATATGTGTCTTTTTTAAAGATTTGGGCCCAACACAGTAGCCTAGCGGCTCAAGTCCTCGCCTTGAACATGCCGGGATCCCATATGGGTGCTGGTTCTAATTCCGGCGGCCCTGCTTCCCATCCAGCTCCCTGCTTGTGGCCTGGGAAAGCAGTCGAGGACAGCCCAAAGTCTTGGGACCCTGCACCTGTGTGGGAGACCTGGAAGAGCTCCTGGCTCCTGGCTTCGGATTGGCTCAGCTCCAGCCATTGCAGTCACTTAGGGAGTGAATCATCAGACGGAAGATCTTCCTCTCTGTCTCTTCTCCTCTCTGTAAATCTGCCTTTCCAGTAAAAATAAATAAATCTTTCTTTTCAATTTTTTATTTTAATAATCTTTACATAGTTGATTAGGGCACAAAGGGTCAAGGGCTACAGGAAAGTGGGTAAGATCACTGTTTCCACATTATTATTATTATTATTATTATTATTATTATTATTATTTTCTGTTCCTGGGGTAAGGGGAGAGATAAAGGGAAAAGTCCCCTTTATCTTATTTGAAAGGCAGCGTGACGGAGTTGTGTGGGGTAGAGAGAGAGAGAGATCTTCCATCAGCTGATTTACTCTTCAGATGGCCACCATGGCCAGAGCTGCTCCAGGGTGAGGCCAGGAGTCCAGCACTTCTTCAGGTCTCCTATGTAGCCCAAATTCTTGGACCATCTTCTGCTGCCTTCCCAGGTATATTAGCAGAGAACTCAATTGGAAGTGGAACAACTGGGATTCAAACTGGCTTCCCGACACACGATGCTAGGATTGCAAGTGGTGGTTTAACCTCCTGTGCCACCATACCAACCGATACGTGTGCTTTCACTAATGCTTTTGTGTGTGCGTGTATACCTAAACATTTACAACTTCCATGCTGTGTCTCCTTTTATCAGTTCTTTCCGCTCCCCACCTCTGGAGGTTCTGTTTCTGTTTTAGATCCTTGTAGCTCTTTCAATGAGGACCAAAACTTCCTGCCTTTCTCTGCAGGTAACTTATTCTCCATTAATAGTTCACCTGGTGGTTCATTCATTTGCTGCCAGTGTTCTGACGACTTGGGGGTCTGGTTTATTATCCTATGAGTGTAGATAACTACTGTTCTCTCTGTGGTTGGTTTGTCAAGGGAGCCACTGTCTCAGACGCTGTGCAGCTGACGTATGTGCTGATTCTGTTACACTTCAGTTCATGTTTGTCTTCATTTTTGAAATTTCTCTGCTGTCAACTTTAATACATTGCCTCTCTGTCCTCCCTGTATTCTCTATACCATAAGTGGGACTTTCTCCTTCCATCCTGCATGTCTGTCAACCTCTCTCTAAGAAAAACATTATTTATTTGAAAGAGAAACAGACAGAGGACTCCCACCTGCTGGTTCACTCTTCAAATGGCTACAATGGCGAGGTGCCATGAACCCCATCTGGGCCTTGCACATGAGTAGCAGAAACCCAGGTCCTTGAGCTGCCACCTGCTGTTTACTGCATTGTGCCTTAGCAGCAAGTTGGAATCAGAAGGAGCGCCAGAGGTTGAACTCCAGTTCTCCAACATGAGTCATAGACATCTCAACCGAGTTTCCCAACTTCCAGGCTAGACGCCTGCCCCTGAAATCCAAATTATCACGATTCTCTCCCTATCACCTTCCTTTTCCCCCTTAACATGCAGCCTTCCCCAACACTCTTGAGTTTCCCTTCTTTGATGATGACAGTTTTGGGGACGGGGATTGTAGCTTCTGTTGCTGTGTGTGCCTAAACATTTACAACTTCCATGCTACCTGTGTCTCCTTTTATCAGTTCCTCCTCAATGCACTTTGTCTTGGGAGGATTCCTAGCCTTTATATAAACATAGCTCAACTGAGTTTGCCCTGGGCCTGCTTGGAGCCCAACAAGGACTCCTGTTACACTCAGTTCTCCCTGCCTGACCCAACCTGAACTTCCTTCAGCAAGGCACCTGCTGGTGGTGAAAGGAACAGTTGCCCTCTGTGGCCTGGATTCTCTCCTTCACTTCCCTCTCCCATCCACCATCAAGTGCGATCTGATCCGTTCGGCTTCCTTAACATCCTCCCAGCACACACCTTCCCATAGAAGCTCTCTGGAGTGGCTAACCTGAAGCTTTTGTCATGTTTTGCAGCCTCTGTCTTTTGTCTTGTCATCTTCTCCAGGGATCTGCCCAACGCATACCCTCTCACAGCCGATTTCACGGGCTCTTTGTGACCTTTCCGTGGTCTGCTCACCTCTCTGGTCCTGCTGTCAAGAGTCAAACACCTGCTGTAACTCTTTGTGGTGGTGGGCAGGTCACTCCACCTCCTTAATGCACTGAACGAATGAACTCAGTCACTGAGCCAAGTATTAGGGGATGTGCCAAACAACATAGAGGATAGAGAGATGGGTTAGAGATCCTGTGCTCAAAGAGTTCTCAGTTGTGGCACCTAATCACAGCACTGTGCAGGAAGTGTGGGAACATGCAAGGTGTTAGAGCAGGAATGTGGCACTGGTCTGCCCACAGGTGGGGAAGAGTGAAGGTGCAAGGGGCAGGCAGAGTGGTAGTAGAGCCACACTGCCCGAATGTACCTTATTTGGGCAAATGAAGCCCCTCTTGGGCCTGGCTCTGTGGCATACTGGGAAAAGCTACTTTGTGCAGAGCAGGCAACCCAAATGGATGCTGATTCAAGTCCTGATTGCTCCACTTCTGACCTGACTCTCTGCTAGTGGCGGGAAAATAGCAGAGGATAGCCCTTGGGCCTCTGCACTCATATGGGAGACTCAGGAGAAAATCCTGCCTCCCAGCTTCAGACCAGCTCAGTCTGACCACTGAGGGAGGCCATTTGGGTAGCAAGCTGGTGGATGGAAGATCTTTCTCTTTCTCTCTTTCTCTGGTTTTTAAGAGTTTTGCTTTTTAAGTAACTGAATATTTAAAACGAAATAAATAAACAAATAAAAACCTCAAAAGGATCCTCATCAAGTTAAAATAATAATAATAATAATAAAGCCTATTTTCAGTGAGGCCCAACGTAAAGACCACATTTCCAGGGCTGATGCTGTGGCATACCATATTCTTCCATTCCTGCAGCGCCAGCATCCCATATGAACACCAGTTCAGATCCTGGCTGCTCCACTTTCAATCTAGTTCCTTGTTGATGGCCTTGGAAGGCAGTGGATGATGGCCCAAAGCCTTGGCTCCCTGCACTCATGTGAGAGACCTGGAGGAGGCTCCTGATTTCAGATCGGCCAGCCTCAGGTTGTTGCAGCCAATTGGGGAATGAACCAAGAATGGACAATTTTTCTCTCTCTGTCTCTCCTTTGTAATTCTGGCTTTCAAATAAAAATAAATAAATAAGTCTTTTTAAAAAGACCACATTTCCTAGCCCCCCTTGCTAGTTCATTCAGCTATGTGGCAAAGCTCTTGCCTGTGGGATGCCAGTAGAAGTGGTAAGTGTAGCATCTGGGATGCATCTCTTGAGGGAGGGATGGAGTGGGAACAGGGAGACATGTTCTTTCTCTTCCTGCTGGCTGGGAGGTAGGCTTGATGACAGGAGCTAGGGCAGCTGGAACTTGGACATGAGCTCCTTGTTGAGAGTAACACTGCCTGCCAGAAGACAGAATAAGCCCTAGGCTCCTTCCACAGACAAGAGAGAGAAATTGCACAAATGAAGACTGATTGCAAAAGAAGAAAACTTTCCTTTGTCCCGAGAAGACAGTCTAGGCCAAGGCTGTCTGCTGTGGGAGATGAGGCTGAGAATGGGGTAGGGAAGTAGGAGGAGGGGACAAACTGAAGGGGAAGGACCAGGGCAGGGAGAAGAGGACTTCCAGGACTGTGGTAGTGGGGGAAAGGACAGAGAAGGCATTCACTTAGCTCCAGGAACATGTGAGTGTGTGCATGCGTGCATGTGTGTGTGTGTGTGTGTGTGTGTGTGTGTGTAAGCAGCAAGAATGCCATCCTGTCTCCTTCTTCAGAGGCAGGCCCTGGGGATGGACTCTGCTTCTTCCCTTGGCAAAGGTGGGGTGCTGATGGTGAACCTCTTGCTCAAATCTCTCGGGTCCAGAGTCCCTGACCCCGGTCCTCGCGTGGCTCCTCTTCACTCTGCCTGGGCCAGGATGGTCTCATGCATCAGGAGGTGGGAGGGCCTTTCACCCTATAAAGGCTGGTGGTTGCCCTGCTCCCACTTCGGGCTGCCAAGGACTGCTCAGGCTCTGGCAGCAGCTGGACGCTGGCCCTGGCTGGCCCTAGTAGTTGAGTAAGAGTGCGGCCAGCCCTCAGCAGACAGACAGGCTCCTTTCTGTTGGTGGCCCTGCCCGCCGGGCGATTGGTGGGATGGTTTGCCTGTCATGGGGTCCGGGGAGCAGTTTAACCCCATTAGGAATATTTTTTAGGCAGCATTCCCTAGTGGGGTCAGCTCCTGGTACTGGAATACTCCTTAACCCCTGAGTGCCAGCAAGGGGGTGGGAGGTGAGTGCTGAGAGAAAGCTGAGGTCAGCCTTCTTTGAACCTCCACGTGGTATTTACCAAGAGCAGTCGTGGCCTGAGGCCCAGGCCCCTGGAATATAAAGTGCAAATGTCTGTTCTTTGTGCCCAGACTGGAGCAGGTGAGTGGCTCAGGGCAGCAGGTGGGAGTCACAGCCCCCAGGGAGGGGAGTTTGCAGGCGTCCTCAGCAGGGAGTTAGGTGGGGGAAGAAACGAGACATCCACATCTTGCAGAACTTTGGCAGAGTCACTTCTTCCCTGGTCCATGTGCAGAAGGCAGGGAGATGGGCAAGTGAGGGATGGTGGTCGAGGTGCACTAGGGAGCTGCCTCTGGGGGCCTGGGACTTCAGGAGAGGTTAGGTGGAAGGGGAGGCACTTTGTGAGCTACGGTGGAGGTGAGAAAAGAGCACACCCTCCCATCTGAGGAAGACACCCTTTCCTCCAAGCTCACCTGGGTCAGCCCTCCGGAGCCCCCTCAGCTCCACATTTCCTCCACCTTGAGTCAGGCAGCTTCTGCCGGCTGTCCCTTCCCTGGCTTCTTCCGGCTAACCAGGCCCCTTTCCTTCTCAAAGGCGACAATAATGGCTAGCACGGCGGCAGCACTCACCTGGGTTCTGGCCCTCTTCTCAGGTAGGTCTCCAACCCTGGTCCAGTACAGGAGGCTGGGGGTGGGGTTGGGGATGGAGGCCGGCGGGAGGGATGTCCATCCTACCTGCCCTGCCCTAGGAAAACCGAGTGTCTCACACCCTTCCTCTTCCCACAGCGCTTCCAGCCACCCAGGCCGGGAAAGGCTTCTGGGACTACTTCAGCCAGAGCAGCGGGGACAAAGGCAGGGAGGAGCAGAGCCAACAGCAGAAGCTGGCGTGGGAGCCCACGTGAGTGGCCGGGGCCATGGTGTCCACGGGAAGCCAGCAGGGCATGGGATTCCCCAGGCTCAGTGGGCCACCGGAGGGATGCGGTGCTAGCTGTTCAGGCAATTTCTGCTGCTTGGGGCTCTGCAGCGACCTAGGCCTCGCCATAGCAGCTGCCCTCAGGATCATAATAGGGTCCCCAGAACAAAAGAACGCTATGAAAGTTTTGGTGCACCTGTCAATGGAAGCCTGAATTTGCCCACGGGATGGATGTTTTGGGTTTTGTGTGCAAGGAGCTGCGATTGGCTGGGGGATAGCGACAGAAGCCATGCTTCCATGTCCTTGGTTTTCCCCAGGGGATCCTGTGCTGTGCCCCTGCAGGGGGAGGTGTTGGGCGTGAGGAGATGGTGGATCAAGCAGTCTGACAGCCTGTTTCCCTCCCCCTCCCCAGAAGCCTGAAAGGCAACCTTGAGCAAGATCTCAGCAACCTGAACACGTTCCTGAAAAAGCTAGAGCCTCTAAGTGCACAGGCGCAGGATTCCCCTTGGCTGCCACTCGATCGGGAAGGCGTGCGGCAACAGCTGCAAGAAGAGTTGGAAGAGCTGAAGGCACGCCTGGAGCCCTATATGGCGGAGGTGCACGAGCTGGTGGGCTCGAACTTAGAGGGGCTGCGGCGGCAGCTGAAGCCCTATACATTAGAGCTCATGGAACAGGTGGCTCTGCACGCACAAGAGCTGCAGGAGCAGTTGCGTGTGGTGGGAGAGGACGCCAAGGCCCAGCTGCTGGGGGGTGTGGACGGCCTATGGCGGGGACTACAGGGCCATGTGGTGCACCACACCGGCCGTGTCAAAGCCCTCTTCCACCCTTACGCCGAGCGCTTGCTGAGCGGCATCGGGCGCCATGTGCAGGAGCTGCACCGCAGTGTAGCCCCGCATGCTGCCGCCAGCCCTGCGCGCCTCAACCGCTGCGTACAGGCTCTCTCGCACAAGCTCACGCTCAAAGCCAAGACCTTGCATGCACGCATCCAGCAGAACCTGGACCAGCTGCGCGATGAACTCAGCGCCTTTGTGGGCTTGGAAGGAACCGAGGAGGGAGCCGGACCAGACCCCCAGCTTCTCTCCGAGGAGGTGCGCCAGCGACTGCAGGCTTTCCGCCAAGACACTTTCCTGCAGATTGCTGACTTCACTCAGGCCATCGACCAGGAGACGGAGGAAGTTCAGCAGCAGCTGGCGCCGCCCCCGCCAGGCCACAATGCTTTCGCCCCTGAGTTGCGACAGATGGACAATGGCAAGGCCCTGAGCAAGCTACAGGCTCGTCTGGACGACCTGTGGGAAGACATTACCTACAACCTCCAAGATCAAGGCCACGGTCACTTGGGAGCACCCTGAGGGTCTTGCTTCTGCAGGCCCATTCACCAACTCTTAATCTGGAGAGCTGAGGATCTGAGCCTCAGTCAGGACACAGCCCCTGGGCGGAGGGTGGAGGGTCCTGTGGGATAGTTGAGGCCACTAAAGGGGCTGCTGGTATCTGGTCCTCTACAGCTCTTCCGTGTGGATGCATTACACTCAGCAGGCGTTGAGAAGCCAGCTTCCCGTGATCATTTAGGAATCCTTAAGAGTGGCTCCTTTCGGGACAGGAGGGTGTGGGGAGGGGCCTGAGTGCAGCACAGGTGGTTATCCGCAAACCTGTCAGGTGCTTGAAGCCTGTGCCACCACTAGGGGCGCATCCTCAATCAAGCTCAAAGCCCACTGTGGCCACCTGGTGGCCAGTGACGTCGCTGGTCCTATGTCTTGTCTTACTGGAGCTCTTAGTGGGGCTGCCTTGGGGCGGCTTTTGTGGGGCTAACGAGGAGAAGGATGGAGGACACTACCTCTGAGGGGGAGCGCATGGGAGGGTCGTGGGTCTATCCCTGATGGCTCTGATGCCCCTGGGAATGAATGACAGGTGCAGTGATGAAAGTGGGCAGATCTGCATTCCCCTACAGACTGTGAACTTAAATGAGGGACTGAGCTTTCCAAACTGCGCGAGGGGGGGGGGGGGGTCGCAGGACTCCTTAAACCCCTCTGGGGGAGCACCTAGCATGCCCTCCCCATCTGCTGACGCCAAGGTTGGTCTGACCTTCTGGCTCGAATGAAATAGACACTTATGATGGAAGCTTGCTTGCCTGGTGTGACTCTCATTTGGACCATGTCTGGAAGCAGCATCATCACCACCATCTGCCTAGCACATCCACCTCCTGCTGCAATCCCTCTCATCGCAGTCCCCCCACCTCCCAGGCTGGTTCTGCCAGAGGGACCTGGCACTGGCTGGACAACAGCTGTGTGCTACAGCAGGCATGGTGGGCCCAGGACTGGAGACTTTCTCTGCACTAATCCTGTGTGGTGGGGGACACAGGCTATCACTGGACAAGTGTGGCCCTGCTAGCCCTGAGTTGCCTTGCCTTTCTTGTTCTTGATGCACACTCACAGCCTCTGTTTACAGTCACTTTCTTGGCATTCCAGCCCCCACCAAGCTTTTATTTTTTGTTTTAAAGATTTATTTATTGGAGCCATTGTCCTGGCTTCACAAGCTAATCCTCCACCGGTGGTGCCAGCATCCCATGTGGACACTGGTTCTAATCCTGGCAGCTCCATTTCCCATCCAGCTCCCTGCTTGTGGCCTGGGAGGGAGGCAGAGGATGGCCCAAGTCCCTGGGTCCCTGCACCCACACTGGAGAACCAGGGAGCACTCCTGGCTTTAGACTAGTCCACCTCTAGACACTGTGGCTATTTTTTTTAATTGAAAATAAATTAAGATTTAAAAACATTGTTTGAAAAACAGAGTTACAGAGTTAGAGAGGAGGGAGAGCAACAGACAGATCTTCCATTCACTGGTCACTCTCCAGTGGCCACAATGGCTGCAGCTGGGCCAGTCTGAAACTGAGAGCCTGGAGCTTCTTCCAAGTCTCCCACATGGATGCAGGGGCCCCAGGACTTGAGCCATTCTCTGGCGATTTCTCAGGCATATTAGCAGGGGGCTGGATTGGAAGTGAAGTATCCAGGACTTGAACAGGCATCCACATAGGATGCTGGCATTGCAGACAGTCTTATCCACTGTCCCATCGCAGGGCCTTGGGACCCCCAAACTCTTAACTTTCCACCCTCCAGTTCACACTGAGAATCGTGAAAGATCCTGTCAATTCCACAGGGAACTTGGGGGTGAATGGAGCAAGGAGGAAAGCATAAGCACACTCCATCCTTCTCCCCCTCACCCCACCCTGCATGGGATTCTCAGCACAAAACTCCATGGGAATCTAGGCTCCTCGCACCCCGCAGCCTGGGCTTTCCTGACATCCTAGACTTAGCCACAGAACTGTGATGTGTGGCCCCAGCCGAGAGGAAGTGATGGAAGGAAAAGTGTAGCACGCGACAAGTGAGGCGAGCGGAGGGTGTGGGTCAGCTGGATGTGGTGGCAGTGAAAGGCTTCATACAGGAGGCTGGAATTGAACCGGCAGAGGCGCTTATGGAGGCTGAAGCTTGGAGTGGGTTGTGGGAAGCACCCAAAGCAAGAGAAGGGCCGGGAAGGGAACATGGCTGAACCACCTGGAGTCTCGCAGGGCCTGGGTCATCCGCGCAAGCGGGCCAGCCCAGGGACTCCCAGCCCCAATGGACCACCCGAGAGCCAGCGCTCGGAGCTCTGCGTGGTGCAGCAGCGCTCCTGCCAAGGGGGCGCAGGAAACAGCCGGTGGCCCTGCGAGCACGCCCCTGCAGGAAGTGACGGCTGAACGGAGGTGGGCCCCGCCGGCTGTGGCAGCCCCGCGTCACCGGGAACCCCGCTCCGAGGAGGCCGGCTGCCCGAAGGCTCTGCGGGGACGCGCTCTTTAAGGCGCAGGGCGGACGCACGGCGGCGCGGGGCGGGGCGCGGGCGCAGCGGAAGCCGGAAGCCGCGGCTGGAGCGGCGCGTGGTGATGTCGGCCGGCGGCGCGGTGGAGCCGGGACCCCCGGGGGTCGCCGCCGCCTCGGGGCAGCTGTTCCGGCCCATCAGCGCCGAGGACGAGGAGCAGCAGCCCACCGAGATCGAGTCTCTGTGCATGAACTGTTACCGCAACGTGAGGCCGGGCGGCGGGAGGTGCAGGACCGGAGCGGCGGGGGCGAGCGGGGGTCTGAACCGGCCCGGGGCGACCTCACCGGGCTCGTCCCACGTCCCATCCGTAAGACGGGACACCACGGGTCACTCTTCCTCTCGCTTGCCCAGGGCACGACGCGCCTCCTGCTCACCAAGATCCCTTTCTTCCGTGAAGTCATCGTGAGCTCCTTCGACTGCGAGCACTGTGGCTGGAGCAACACGGAGATCCAGTCGGCGGGCCGGATCCAGGATCAGGGAGTGCGTTATGCGTTGACCGTGACATCTCTGGAGGTGAGGGCAACCCCGGGGGGAGTACCCCAGGGAGTCGGGGTTCGTGGGATCTCCAAACCTCCGATTTCTCTTTGGGTGCTTTTACCTGTTAAGGTGCCATGGTGTTTGTGAGTTTTGGCAGACAGCTTGAGATGAGCTGTGGTGTGAATGGTGGTCTGAGGCTCCCACCACTCCCTCTAGAGTGGAGAGGAGGGACAGATTGCTTGGCAGGGCCCCGGGGACGGGGGTGGGCTGGGTATTTCCTCCGAAGGAGCTGTACACCTGCTGTCTCCCTTTGTGTCCAGGACATGAACCGAGAAGTAGTGAAGACCGACTCTGCCACCACCAGGATCCCTGAGCTGGATTTTGAAATTCCTGCCTTCAGCCAGAAGGGGGGTGAGTTTTATCATTGCAGTGTTTGGGGCTTTACCTGGAACTGGAGTCTAGCCCCTTGCTGGCACAATCCTGCTGGGTGGCAGGGCTAGTGGCTGGTGGTTGTGTCTGGCTCGTGTGATTGTTAGGCTCTGTGTTGCTTTAGCTGGACTGGAACGCTTCAGGGAAGCAGCCTGATGCAGTAGAGTCAGAACAAGACAGTGGTGTCTTTTTTTTTTTTTTAAAGATGTATTTATTTTTATTGGAAAGGCAGATCTGTACATAGAGGAGGAGAGACAGAGAGGAAGATCTGTCCGATGATTCACTCCCAAAGTGAACGCACAGCTGCTGCTGAGCTGATCCGAATCCAGGAGCTCTTCCAGGTCTCCCACATGGGTGCAGGGTCCCAAGGCTTTGGGCTGTTCTCGACTGCTTTCTCAGGCCACAAGCAGGGAGCTGGATGGGAAGTGGGGCTGCCGGGATTAGAACCAGTGCCCGTATGGAATCCTGGCGCGTTCAAGGCGAGGACTTGAGCCGCTAGGCTACCGCGCCGGGCCCAGTGGTGTCCTTTTATACAGAATTTCAGCAACAGGGCCAGTGCTGTGGCTCAACAAGTTAATCCTGCACCCTGTGGTGCCAGCATCCCATATGGAGGCTGGTTTGTGTCCTGGTTGCTCCAATTCTCATCCATCTCCCTGCTTGTGGCATAAAACCTTGGGACCCTGTACCCATATGAAAGACCAGGAAGAAGCTCCTGGCTCCTGGCTTTGGATCAGTTCAGCTCAGGTTGTTGCAGCGCTTGAGGAGTGAACCAGTGGATGGAAGATCTTTCTCTCTGTGTCTCCTCTCCGTAAATCCGATCTGCCTGTTCCAATTAAAAAAAAAAATTCCCAACAAGCACAATTTTAGCATCACTGTTAAGGGAGGTGATGGAGCCTGGTGCCTGGCTCCCTGTCTTACAGGAAGAGAAGGGCAAGACCCAGAGACTTTAAGTGAGTTACCTGGGGTCATGCAGGCACTTGATGGCAGAGCTTGAGACTCACTGGTCTTTCCTTTTTGTCCATAAGTTCTGACCACCGTTGAAGGATTGATCAACCGTGCTATCTCTGGCCTCGAGCAAGACCAACCTACGCGAAGGGTGAATGGGGGTTTTCTGATTGTATGTCTGGATCTGTGTGGAGCCCGAGCCCCCTAGGCAGCTGAACGCTCTGAATGTCCCAGCACGTTTTGCGGGGAGCCTCTGGTGGTACTGCAGTGGCCAGGATGTTATAATTCCTTCCTCCTTCCCTCCCGCAGTGCATGCTCAGACCTTGCTGAGACAGTTTAGCAAGAGCTGTTCCCAGAGTCTTTCCCGATCCCCTTCTGGAGATTTGTGCCTCCTAACTGTCCCATTACAGTCTGTACTTAGTATCACAGCAATAACGTAACTGTATTTAGTCTTCAGACCCTAGTTGAGTAAGGAGCCTCTATGAAGAGTGCTGTTCTGTCCCTCCCCTGGCATGCAGACTGCCTGGGCCAAATGGTTGAATGGGAGGATCACTGAGGGTCATCCTGGACCTCCTCTAACCCTGAGGCTTTGCTGTGTCAGCTTTCTTACATGCTATGGTGAGGTTTGGGGCCTCCCGTACACATGAAGACAAGTGTGTAGCTCTTAGTTCAATGCGTCTACTTTGTGTTTATGGTAGGCCAATGAAGATGCCATAGCTGAAAGAATCGATGAGTTCATTGTCAAGCTGAAAGAGCTAAAGCAAGTGGACTCGCCTTTCACTCTGGTGAGTCCTGAAGGTGTAGTAGTTGCTTGGAATGAATGACTCGGTCTGTCTGATTTTCCCACCGGGATCTGATGGTATTTGGAGCTTTGCATATGATTTCTTGTTGTCATTCCTCTGTTAGATCATTGATGACCCTTCAGGGAACAGCTTTGTGGAGAACCCACATGCTCCCCAGAAAGATGATGCCCTGGTGATCACACACTACAACCGCACTCTGCAGCAGGAACAGATGCTGGGCCTGCAGGTAAATGGGTTGAAGCGGGCAGTAAGAATGCTCTGGAAATATCTTGCAGTGTGGGTTGCTTGGAATTTACCTCAGCCTATGTGTGCCTCTCAAGTCAAGGACTGAGGGTAGCCCTTCCAGAAAGGAGGATGGGAGCTGTGGACCCGTTTTGAACCCTCTTCCCTGGACTGGGCCTTTACCCTTGAGACGGCACTTGACCCAAGCCAGCTGCAGCATTTTCTCCTACTGCAGGGCAGGAGTGTGGGGCAAGCTGAGCTCTCCCTGCCAACTTGTGATCTGTATCCTTGTTGCTTAGGCAGAAGCACCAGCAGAGAGGCCAGAAGAGGAAGATCTCAGAAACGAAGTGAGTCCCGTTGCCCGCTCATGAGGAAGGGGCAGAGTTGCAGGCCGAGAGTGTTGTTGCTCAGGCGTTTCTTCATCAGCACCAGCAAGGGTGACTGTGTGCATCCCACAGGGTTACCTTGAGCCTGAGCATCCCACCTGGGAGGCCTCACCCTGTACCCACTTACTGCCTTCTAGGTACTGCAGTTCAACACCAATTGCCCTGAGTGCAATGCCCCAGCTCAGACCAACATGAAGCTAGTACGTATCTTTTGTCAAGTGCTTGGGGCACTCCTCATCTGACCAAGACATGAAGATGGTATTTTGGCTGGGGAAAAAAGTAGCCAGGAACACCTAGAATTTTGTTCCCGGTCATGAAGAGGATGGTGTTGCCTCTGATTAAACAATGCAACATGGTTTTGGGCTCAAAGGGAAACTCTGTCCATGGCCTTAAGGCTCCCGTGTGTGGGGCTTGAGTTGTGTCTTCCTGGGTTAATGAGTAGGGATTGCCAAGGGCTGGGAACTTGGCCATCTTGTGGAGGACCCTTGGAGTCCGGCTGCCTCTTAGGAAATGGTCCTTATAGCCCTGGGAACAGCCTCTGTTGGTATGGGGTTTGGCTTTGCTTTCCTATAGTGGGTGGCCTTGTTTTTCTGGGAGCAGAATTTCTTTTCTTAACTCCATCTTCTAGAAATCCCCCACTTTAAGGAGGTCATTATCATGGCCACCAACTGCGAGAGCTGTGGGCATCGGACCAATGAGGTGAGTGGGTTCCATGCAGTGGAATGGGAACCTGGCTAGAGGCCAGTCCCCTCTGACCCTGGTTCTTCCTGAGTCTCCTGCTTCGGGTTGGGGGCTTTGTGGGGGCTTTTCCTTAGGCTTACTGTGGGGCAAGGAGCCCTTGAAGGAACTGGGAATGAGCCTAGTGGAGGGGAGTTGGAGAAATCCTCCATGTTAAAAGATTGGCTCCTCAGCCACTCTCGAGTTCAGGGAGGCAGATTTTGATGCCATCGTGAGGAAGTGATTAAAGCTGTTGGAAAATGGAATGGGCTGCCTGGGAGGGTTGTAGATTCCCCTTGTCAGATTTAGCATTAACTGGCTAAGTTCTTCCATGAGAGTATTTGAAAGGGATCCATACATTGGCTCTGTGGATGAAAGGAGTGGACTAAATGCTTACAATTCTCTTTCAACTCTGAGAGTCAGATTTCTTTTTTAAAAGGTTAATTCAGTTCCCTGGTCCTTTGAGGCAGTTTTGACATGCCATTGGCACCAGGCCCTTGGTACTTGATGCTGTTGATTTGGGAAGGTGGGGACTATTATCAGTTCTGATCTAGAAGGTTCTGTCTTGGGAGCCATTCCTGGTGCCTGCACTTGGCAATCTCCCCGGGTGCCAGAAGAGGTTTGGGCTTCTCTCTGCTGCCGCTCCTGACGGTTGCTTGTGCAGGTGAAATCTGGAGGCGCAGTAGAGCCGCTGGGCACCAGGATCACCCTCCACATCACAGATCCCTCGGATATGACCAGAGACCTCCTCAAGGTGAGAACCTGCCTGTCCTTCAGCTGTGCCTGCATTGAGGAAACTGGCATCTCCAAATAACAGTCAGGGACATGGCAACCTCTTCACTCCCCTGTGTTTGAGGGTCCCCAGGCTGGGATCATCCATGGTTGAAGTGGCAAGCCGGAAGGTGACCCATTTGCTCTTGCGGATGGCTTGGCACCCTTTGGCTTGGGTGTGTGTCAAGGCCATCTTCTCTGAGCCCTTGTGACAGCACACCTGACAGCATGGAGTGATGACTCAGTCTCCCTTTATTAAGTTGGCTCCATTTCTGTGGCTCAGGTGGATGGGAGTGAACTTTAGCTTTCACTGGGGAGTCAGAGAAAAACTGGGATAGCTGAGTTTGTCCCCAAACTGTCACTTGATTATGTTACAGGAGGCTGCTGGCTTGTTTCCCTTGCTCTGAATTTCAAGCCCAATTTGACTTTTCTCTTTTTTTAAATTTGACTTCTCATCTCACAGTCTGAGACATGTAGTGTGGAAATCCCGGAGCTAGAGTTTGAACTGGGAATGGCTGTCCTTGGGGGCAAGTTCACCACACTGGAGGGGCTGCTAAAAGACATCCGGGAACTGGTGAGTCCCCTGGGCAGGTGCAGGGGCTTCCAGCGGTGTGGCTTAGGAAGGGGCTGGAGGCTTTCTGGCATCTTCATTTGTTTATGCTAACTGGGGGCTTCATTGGTTGTAAAGTCTCTCTAATAGATTTGTAAGTTTACGGGAAATTCTGCATGGAAGTTTCCAGGCCTACGCTGGGACAGTATAATTATTTTCTGATTTGGGGTAAAGACTTTGTGGAAAGAACTAGCTGGAGCCAAGCTAATCCAAAACCAGAAGTCATGAGCTTCTTCCAGGTCTCTCACGTGGGTGCAGGGTACCAAGGCTTTAGGCCATCTGTTGCTTTCCCAGGCCACAAGCAGGGAACTGAGTGGGAAAGGAGGCAGCCGGGACGCAAACCAGTGCCCATATCCTGGTACTTGCAAGGGGAGGATTAGCTAATGGACCCATCACGCCAAGCCCTTTAAAAACTATTTATAGATGTTTCTAATGGCCGGTTCTGTTGTCCTTATGACACTCTGATTCCACAGATTACAGACTTCCAGGGGGCAGTGCCTGAGTCAGAAAGGTGCTGTGTACCCCATGGTGACTTCCTGTCTGCTTCATAGGCAAGCCTTATAAACAGAAAGCTGGTAGACTAGTGATTTGGATGGCATTTCTTGCAGGTAACCAAGAACCCCTTTACTCTGGGCGACAGTTCCAACCCTGGCCAGGCAGAGAAGCTGCAGGAGTTCAGCCGGAAATTGGACCAGGTAAGGGCCCCCCTACCTCCACAGTCAGTACACGGGTCCTGGGGCTCAGGTGAACTAGCGGCTGCTTCCACATTCTCACCACTCTGTAAACACGGAACCTCCATGTCGGTTTCCTGTGTCCCATGCCATCTCATCTTTCTCAGTTTTCTCCATTATTTTGCTTTCCCATCTTGTCTCATAGCTTCCTTGAAAAGGTGCATGGGAAGTGAAATTTCCAGGACCCTCCACATCTAAGTTTGTTTATTCTGCCTTCACACTGGACTGTTGGCTGGGAATAGAACTTTAGCCTAGAAGTCATTTCTCCTTATGTTTGGGAGGCATCGAACAACTGTCTTCCCTTCCCAGTGTGCCTGGTGAGCGTCTTTGGCATGTGACCTGGGGACCTATTTGTTCCCAGAGAGGTGAAATTTCAGGATGGGCCATGGTGTGGGTCGTTCAGCACTGTTGAAATACCTGGTGGTTCCTTTCAATCTGGAAAATGGGTGCTCCAGTTCTATTGAACATTGTGTTTTCAATCTTTTTCTTGTTGTTTCTCTAAACTCCTAGCTTTTAGATATTCAGCTCATTGTCTGGTCTTCTGTTATTTATTCTGTTGTTATCTAATTTCTACATATTTTACTTTACTTTGGGAGATTCCCTGAACTTGAACTGAAATTTTCATTTCTGCTCAATATTTTTTTATTATAGCTTTTTTCGGTCTTTGAATACCTCTGCCTTAAAAAATAATAATATCCTATTTTAGTGATTAGTACATTTTCTTGAGAATGTTGACGTTGGATTTTTTCTTTTTCTTTTTCTTTTTTTTTTTTCACATTTTATTCTCCTTGCATAGTTCTCCATTGGTTTCTCACTATCAGCAACTTGGTAGAGGCCTGAGGACTTGTATTTTGAGTGGGGGCAGGGAGGGTGTTGTGATACCATGTGTTTACCAGCTGTTTGGAATACTCACATCCCATACCACGCTCCCAGTTTCTTTTTTTATTTTTATTGGAAAGGCAGATATGCAGAGAGGAGGACAGAGAGGAAGATCTTCCGTCCAATGATTCACTCCCCAAGTGACAGCAACGACCGGTGCTGTGCCGATCCGAAGCTGGGAACCAGGAACCTCTTCCGGGTCTCCCACACAGGTGTAGGGTCCCAAGGCTTTGGGCCGTCCTCGACTGCTTTCCTAGGCGACTGCTTTCCCAGGCCACGAGCAGGGAGCTAGATGGGAAGTGGGGCTGCTGGGATTAGAACCGGCGCCCATATGGGATCCTGGCACGTTCAAGGCAGGACTTGAGCCACTAGGCTACACCACCGGGCTCCATACTGCCAGTTTCAAGACCCAGCTACACTACATCCAATTCCTGCTAAATGCTCTGGGAAAGCAGTAAAAGATGACCCAAGTTCTTGAGTTTCTGTCACTCACACTGGAGACCCAGGTAGAGTTCCTAGCTCCTGGCTTTGACCTAGCCCAGCCCTAGCCTTTGCAGGGAGTGAACCAGTGGATGGAAGATCACTCTTCCTCTCCCTCTGTCTTACAAATGAACCAGTGAATAAATCTGGACAACGTAACAGCAAAACTGCACATCCTCAGTGGGGGTTATGCTTATTGACATGGAGACTCTGTCTAGCTTAGCTGTTGTGGTAAGGTAATCCCCAGCCCCTTTTGGGCTGGTCAGATGCCCACCAGGTGGCTACTGTACTTTCTGTCCACAAGCTAAAGTCTTGCATGGATGTATTGTGAGTACTCAGGGTCTCCTGGGGAATATGTCTGATTATGAATACATTTAGATTTATTTCTTTATTTCAAAGGAGAGGCAGAGATCTTGCATCTACTGGTTCTCTCCACAGATGGTACCTCAGGGCTGAGTCAGGTTGAAGCCAGGGGCCAGGAACTACATCTGCATCTCCTATGTGGAGTGTGGGAATCCGAAGTATTTGAGCCATCTTCAACTGCTTTCCTAGGCACTTTAGCAGGGAGCTGCATTCGAAGCTGGGACTTGAAGTAGCACTCTGATAGGGGATGCCAGAGTGGTAGGCCATGGCTTAGCCCACTGTATCACAGTGCCAGCCAGCCCCACCTCTGGTTTTGTTTGTTTGGGTTTTTTTTTATGAATTTTATTTTAGTTTTGATAATGTTTGCATAGTTGAGGAGGATGCATGCCTGTGTGAACCACTGATTAGGATGGGAAGGGTCCAGGAATGGGGCAAAGCAGATGAGACAACTGCTTCCAATCTTTCTATTCCTGTTTCTGGGGCAAGAGGAAAGGAGGAGGAGGAGAGGACCACTCCCAGTGGCCTAACCACTCCAGTACCCAAGGATGTAGGATGGTCACTCGATGTCATCCTAGGTCCCCGATGTAGAACCTTTTCTGAGGGTACTGCTTAAGTGGTTTTAATAGTTCTGAGATGCTGTTGATTTTGTTGTTACAAAGTTGTGGAAATCTCTCCAAAGTCCATTGGCTGACATAGTCTACCTCAGAGTCTTCATTTGTCCACATACCTGCTGTCAAAGCTTGACCAGGAATTTTGTCCATTTTGTTCTGCCCTCTATATTATTAGATATCCTTTGCGAGCCTTGATGATCTGTCATGTCCCCCAGGTGCATCTGGAATACTGTCCACCGCACAGGTTTCAACAACCAAAGAGACATAAGCACTCCATGGTCAAATTAGCCTGTCATTTCCCTGCGGTTGGAGTTTTGAGTCCAGCGGTCCAGTTGAGGGAGGGGAGGGGTGTCCAAAGAAACCTCCCCAGAGGTGACCCTGAACCTGATATCTGTGTGTGCCAGCTAGTGTAGGGTCTGGCTCAGTCCATCGCCCACATCAACCTGTACACACGCTGGTGGTTGCGGGAACCTTATCAGTTCTGTCCCCAGCCACATTTCATATGCATTGGTCATATGTAGACCAATGGATGTTGCAGCCCAACCCTGCCCACTCATAGCCCAACCCTACCACACACTCAGCCCTCATGTACATTAGTAGGAACTGCAGCCTAGTGGAAGCTATCTATAATAACCCCCATCAGGCCCACCTCTAGCCCTGGTTCCTGTGACTCATAGTTTGTGCGCAGGCTTGTATGTATAGTGGTCTGTTCCGCATCCCATTTGGTTCTTTTACACATCAGTGTGTGCTGTAGCTTCACTGACCCCACTATCCAACCCACACTCATACCAGCGATTGCCACTGCCTGTCCAGCTAGGCCTACCCCCAGCCCTGGTTCTCATGCTCACTGCTGGGAGCTGCAACATATCAGAGGGTGCCCGCAATTTCCCTACTAGGCCAACTGCCAGCCCTGGATCTTGCCTTCCACTTCTTTGGTTTGTTCCCTCTCCTCTCAGTTGGCCAGTCCTCCAATCCATGGTTCGCTGGGGTAATTTCTTCAGGTAGAAGAATTGTTAGCTCTCTTTAGTGGACAATGAGATTGGGGATGTTGTATTACTACACAAGAGAGATAGAAGACAGAACTCCCATCTGCTGGCTTACTCCTCTAAAAGCTTACAATGGCTGAGACTGAAGCAAGGCTTTGGCTGGAGCTGGGAATTCTATCCAGGTCTTCCATTTGGATAGCAAGAACCCAGTTACTTAAGCCATCACCACTGTTTCCCAGGCTTGGCATGAGCCAGAAGCTGTAATTGGGAATCTTGGCTTGGATCCAACCCAGGCAGGCCTCTATGGCATGCAGGTGCCTTAACCTGAGCCAGCCTCTAGGCCAAATGCCCGTGCTTGAATTGCATCTTGAATAGCTTTCAAACAGTATTTTATCAGGAATTGGGTACTGTTTTTCCTGCCAAGGGCCATTGGGATATTTACAACACTATTTGCAGACCATACAAAATTTATCAACTGACAAATGAACCTGCTGCAAATGTACCAAATTTTGAGTCTTGACTACAAGTTGTGTTGGCAGGACCAGAACAAATGATTTCATGGGCCTTATGTAACCGGTGAGCTAGATGTTCCCCATCCCAGTTTTAGATCCTTTCTTTTTTTTTTTTAATACAAAGATTTATTTATTATCTTTATTGGAAAGGAAGGTTTTCAGAGAGAAGCAGAGAGATCCTCTATCTGTCCACTGGTTCACTCCCCAAATGACCACAATGGCCTGACATAAACCAATCGAAAGCCAGGATCCCCTTCCAGGTCTCCCATGCAGGTTCAGGGTCCTTTAGACTTGGACCGTCCTCCACTGCTTTCCCAGTTCGTAAGGAGGGAGCTGGAAGGGAAGTAAGTGGAGCAACCAGAACATGAACCAGTGCCCATATGGGATCTCAGCCCTTGTGAGGCAAGGATTTAGCCATGGAGCCATCATGCCATGCAGTTTTAGGCCTTTTCAACTTCACTTTCAGAGTGTCTAATTTCAGTAATTCTTAAAGCATTGTGGGTTAATCGGGTTGGGTTATGTCTGGCAGACACAGCTCGTCCTGAGCTTTGTAACATTTACACGCTATTCCCTTTCCTTTAGATCATGGAAGGTCATATGCAGGCCCACTTCATTATGAATGATCCAGCAGGAAACAGTTACTTGCAGGTACAGTAGACCTTCCCTGATATCTGATCTCATTTGAGTAGGTGTAATTTCTCCAGAAAGGACATGCTTGTAATTGTACTGTTCAGCTTCTGATCAGGAAGCTTGTAATTGTACTGTTCAGCTTCTGATCAGGAAGCTTCTGGTGGAAGTCAAACTATGGGAGCCTTTCTAGGTGGGACTGGGGAGGAGTTTCATGGCTGTATGAAGAAGGAAAAAGACAGACTCCTGGCTCTTCCAGTTACAGAGCTTTCATTCTGCACATCTGATGGTGCAGTGAGGAGACATGGAACCAGATCCAGAGGCAAAGACAGGGAAACTTGGGATTTAAATGGACTGGGGATGATAGTCAGGTGATTGGTGTCCCTATAATTGAGTACTGATGGATCAGGCAAAGTGTTCTAAGGTCTTTCCATGATTGAGGCTGCTGTCCCACTTCTAAGAAGGTGCAGATAAAGATGTTCAGTTTCACCCAGTGCTGGACTGTCCACTCCTGACACACTGGCTTGGCCTGGTCTGGGGGAACTGAAGACTAAAAGACCGAGTTCTTGGGGAAGTGGAAGCTGGTGGCTGCGTGAGGGAGGGGTGGTGGTACAGGCACTGATTATCTATCCTTGGCCTTACAGAATGTGTATGCACCAGAAGATGATCCTGAGATGAAGGTGGAGCGTTATGAACGCACCTTTGACCAAAACGAGGAGTTGGGGCTCAATGACATGAAGACAGAGGGCTATGAGGCAGATCTGGCCCCACAGCGGTAGCAGTGGGAAGGCCGCGGCCAGCCTCCAGCACTGCTCTTAGTGTAGAGTTATTTATTACTAATGGAATAAGGCTGAGAGAGAGACCTCCGCACCAGGCCTGGCCTTTGGTTGGAAAGACATCTGGTCCAAGTCAGTGATCTAGGCACACTTTCTAAGTAGCTCGCAATGCAAGTTCAAGCCTGTGTGCGTTACTTGACCTTATTTTGGAGGTTTTGAATTGGCCTGGGAAGAAACACAAATTAACCACGGGATCTGTTGGTATCACATTTTTCTATCAACTCTGAACCTTCCTTTCACACAGCGTTGTGTCTAGAGTTGGAACCCCAAAGTTGGCAGAGATGGGACCCAGTGACAGTTGGAGTGGGGAGTTCCTACTGAGTAATGAGGTACTGACCTTCAAGTCAGGGCTGAGGAGAGAGGCTCCAGGGCATGTGAAGAAGTTACCATTAAAGTGATGGCTTTCAAACAACATTAGCCTCTGTGTTCACTCTGTCATTGTTTGACATCAGCTGTTCGAGTGTTAGCCTGCAGTTTTCTCCAGGGTGACTGCTGGAATTCGGGATAGAGCTGGCATTTCATTCATTTCTCCCACAGAGGTTTGCTTTCCTATTTCATCCAGGAATGGCACAGAACAGTGAACAAAGTAAGCCCCTGCTTCCTTGGAGCTTAAAGTCTAACAGGGAAGATAGACAGGAAACAAACAACAACAGCAGGCCCAGTGGTGGTTAGTGGTACCAGGGAGTGGGCAAGGAAGCTACAAAAAGTCAGGGAAAAGTGGAATTAACAGATTCAGTCCTGTTCCAAGAACTTCTTGAATACTCCTGGCAGGGAGGGGTGTGAGTGGCGCTAGGAAGAGGACACAGGTGTTTGCACTAGAGTGGGCCGGGAAGAACTCCACAAGAAGGTGCTCTGACATCTGGGCAGAGTTGAGAGGGAGGTTAGAGAGGGAGTCCTGCTGGTAAAGGGTGTGGGAATAGACTTCTGGGCAAAGAACTGCAGATGGAAATGCCCTGGGGCTGGAGAATGTTAGAACCAGGGGTCAGCGAGTCCCACTCTTAACCGTAAACAGGTCAGTGGGTTCAGCGAGAGCAGGAGGGGGCTGTGGGCAGCAGTGGGGCAAGTTGAGGGCCCACTGAGCCCTGGACTCGCCTGCCAGTGCGATTCCTGTGGTGTGGGCTAAAGGGTATTAGCTTAATAAAGAGCAGTTAATTGAGACGTGATCACAAATGTTATTGCTTTGTGCCACACACGTACCTCTTCCTAGTTTTGGATGACTTAGCAACCAGACACCTACTCTGACTGCTCTGTGAAACTTTTCTCAAGGGTCATGAGTGATGTTCCGCTTGGAAATGTTCTCTGTTGTGTCTGATGATGGATGTGCTCTTCTGAACCTGTCTTGGGTCCTGTGTGCCAAGTGTCCCTTTTATTTTGATCATTCCTTAGTCGTAAATTTCTGTATTCTGTTTCTGAAGGTGCCCCCTTCAGGTGCCTCTTCATATTGGGTTCTTTAGCCTCTTATTCTCTTTTAGGGTTAACTCCTGTTCTGTTCCTCTACTTCTCAAAGTGAGGGTAAGGATTTTGAGAACATAGCACAGAGCCACCACGCTTCAGAGCAGACCTAGAAGATGCAAGTATTCTGCCATAAGGATTGTCTGTACATGTGCTGTCTGCTGACTGTGGAGGTTGGAGTTTGCCAGGCCATCTTCTGGCAAAAAGAAGGAAAGACAGAAAGATCTACCTGCTGGTTCACACGCCCAAGTGGCTGTTACAGCTGGAGCTGAGTTGATCTGAAGAGCTTCTTCCAGGTCTCCATGTGGGTACAGGGCCCCAAAGCTTTGGGCCATCCTCGACTGCTTTCGCAGGCCACAAGCAGGGAGCTGGATGGGCAGTAGAGCAGCTGGGACATGAACTGGTGCCTATGTGGGATCCCAGGCAAGCAAGATGAGGATTCAGCCACTAGGCTTTTGTGCTGGGCTCTGCGAGGCCAACCAGATCATTGGCTTTGAAGAACTTCCCCTTGAGTTGGGGGCTGCTCTTTTAAGGTGAGCCCTGGAATCAGGTTCACCTTCCATTGTGATGGGAGAACAATGGCTGATTTTCTACTGAATCTCTTGATTGGTGTGAGACAGTTGCCCAAATTCCAGTCAGTTCCTGAGAAGTGATAACTGAGTTTCTAAATCTGCAAAGACTGGGCCAGGTAATAGATTGGAATAAGCCAGCTAAAGTTCTTACTGATGACTGACAGGACCGGGGTCTGGCATCTTGAATGTCATAGCATTCTCCTTCAGAAAGCCCGTTGGAATGGGAGCCCACCTCTAGTTAAGGGGTCTTGGTCCCTGGCGCCTAGCACATTGAACATGGTTTATAGCCCTTGGATGGAGTCCTGTTAGAGCACTACATTAACATGTGGGTACTGAGTGTGGGGAGGCCCTACTGAGGGCCAAAGGAGGTGAGATGAGCCAGCCATCGACATGAGAATAAAATTGAAAATATTTTTGGGAAAAAAATGGAAATGCTATTGAAAATAAAATTGGAAATTTCCAAATTGGAAATTGGAATAAAAGTGGAAAGTTCTGTGGCTAAAGAAGGAAAGTGATTCACTAGTGAGAGCATGCCTCGTATTTTCATCTTTCAAGTTGTGGAGTGTGGGCATGCTGAGTCATTAGACCTGTGAACGTGCAGGTAGTTGGGTGTGAGATATGTGTCTGTGTTGGGACTGAGACTCAGGGCAGCTGACTGGGCTAACTGAAAGCTTTAGTGATGCTACAACATTTTCAGGGAAGATTTTTGTCTACTTTGTAGGCAAGCAGCAATTTTCACCTGTGAAGGTGTGTTCACGTTAAAGGTTAGTGTGAGCAGCACTTTTAATGCCTTGAGTTCTTGGTCTGAAAAATGGGAATAAAGCACCTATTTTATAGGGGTTTTGTGAGGATAAGTGAGTCAACTGGGAAGTGCTTTTATATCTTCTCATATCCAAGAATTCTTAAGTTCTCTGCTTGAAAAGTATTCTAAGAAGCGTCATCTACAAATAAAATCATCCCCACTTTAGAGCTTCTACAAGGCAGACTTCAAAGCTTGGCCTGCCAGTCCTGGCACCCAAGAGTCCAGAGTTACTATATTTGTTTTGTTAGCTATCCTTCAGGGCACATGGTTTTGTGATTGCTTAACTGCCTGGAGATGGGAGCTTGGGTATGAGCTTGGCTTTTTTTGTTTCCTAAATAGAAATTATGTACTTTTTTGGGTTTTTTCTTCTGTTTATGTTTTTTCCTTTATTTGAAAAGAAGCAAGAAATTGCCCACCTTATGGTTCACTCCCCAAGTGGAGTGAATTCCACTGGGCTCTTCCACGTGTGGGTGTCAGAAACCCAAGTGTTTGAGCCAGCATCCATCTCACAAGGTGCACATGAGGAGGAAGCCAGAACAGAAGTCAAGCTGGGATTTGAACTCGGACAGTCTGGTATAGGATGCAGGTGTCTTAACTACCTGCCCCTGAGCTTGAGTCCTGGCAGGCTGGCAAGGTTGGGGATAGGCTGAACAGGTACCAGTGGAGCTGAAGACCGACGCAGGTGGGGAGCCCAAGGATGCCATACGTCATGTTCAATGGAGCAGAAGTGAGAGACTTTGCCAATGTCTGCTGGCACCAACGTGAAGTTCAGTTGGAGATATGGCAAGTTAGATTAGAAGCCAAGGCAGGACTGTGGAGTAGGGGCCTCAGACCAGCAACCCCTTAACACAAGCCCTCAGCCTGCCTGCTTTCCGTTCTGGGTGCGGCTACACGCAGTACAGCCTACTGGCTAAAAATCCACGCTTCAAGTAAAGGATTTTCAGAACATAATATTCCCAAGATTTGTATCTAGTTGCAGAATTATCAATGCCTATTAGACTAATAAGCTTTAATAAAACGAATATATTTAACATAGGTGAAAATTTGAGCGACTATTCCAGCAAAACCAGGGGCAAGGATTGGGTAGCTGCACACGCTTTGGAAACCTACACATAAGCCCTCAGCCATGGAAATTATACTGGAGCTGGGCTTCCCAATTTTCACTTTTGAATGGTATCTTGCAGACTGCCAGAGCAGTTTCCTGGCCACCCAAGGGGAACTGATAAATACAAGTATTTCAGTCCTCACCACCGTTCCGAGTTAGGCGATACCCATCATCTTGCTAGGCCAAGATCGCCCAGCTGGAAGTGCTGGGCACGGATTCACACATGGTCCACTGCCGTTCCAGGGCCTGAGTCCTCAGCCACCGGGGCAGTTCCGCCGCCGGCTGCGGGGCAGGGATCCCGCTTCCTTCGGCTCGCTGCAGTACGTGGGATGGACAAAGGAAGACTATGGTTGCGTCACCATGACAATGTAGGCCAGGCTCAGCCGGTACGCGCGGACGGCCCTCACCTGTCACTCCCCAAGGCCCGAGCCCTTCTGCCACTTCCGGGTTCTGGCTCCTCCCCGCCCCTCTCGGAGCGGCGCCGGACGGTTTCGCTCTGAAGAATTTTGTCCTCAGCGCCGAGCCGTTTCCCGGCCTCCGCCGCTGCCATGGCGGCAGCTCCGCCGGTCTCCAAGGCCGAGTATCTGAAGCGTTACTTGTCCGGACCAGATGCCGGCGTCGATGGAGCCCCGCAGTCCGGTCGCAAACGGCGCAAAAAGCGGCCGAAGCCCAGCGGGGCCGGCGGTAAGGGGTGAGTTGGTGCTGGCGGGGCGGGGCGTCCTTCCCAACCCCGCCCCCGGCCTTCCGGCTCCCGGGCCCGGCCGGCCTCATCGGGCTCGCCTTCTAGAATCCCCGCTCCGCCCGGTGGTCGCCGGCCCTCGGCTTCGGCCGGCGCCCCCGAGCAGTGCCCTGCGTGTCAGAGCAGGCCCTAGCGCCCCTCGCTCGTGTCCCGCCTGTGGGAAGGAGGGGAGGGAATGGGGGGCCCGAATTCAGTGTCTCGGCTTGGGTTTTCAGGGGCCGGAGCATGTCTGAGAGGCTTTGGTATCTCATCCTGAACCATGCACCCACGAGCTCACATCCGGTTACTTCTAACCATACTACCAGCAGTGACAACTTTTTATGGGATGCTGTCATTTACACACTTCCTACCAAGCAGCGTTCTGAGAACTTTAAGCGGGCCTTTATCTAAGCGTCATGACACTCCCATTGGGGAGGTGTTTTTAATCTCCGTCTTTTATAAAATGCCCCTCACTGCTGCATCCTGGCCGGATGATGGAAACAGGTTTTTAGGCCGATTTTTGTCTTTTACGATGAGATCTTTCTTGGTTCAGGTGGGCACTAAATCCAACGAGACTCCTTTGGTCAACGCAATGGCTCAATTGGTTAGTTCTCCGCTTGCAGGCACCAGGATCCAGTATGGGCGCTGGTTCGTGTCCCAGCTGCTCCACTTCCCATCCAGTTCCCTGCTTGTGGCCTGGGAAAGCAGTCAAGGACGGCCCAAAGCCTCAGGACCCTGTACCCGCGTGGGAGAACTGGAAGAGGCTCTGGGCTCCTGCTTTGGATCAACTCAGTTCCTTTTCTTGAGGCCATTTTGGGGGTGAACTAGCAGATAGACGATCTTTCTCTCCGTCTCTCCTCTTTGTAAATCTGCCTTCCAATAAAAATAATTTTTTTTTTGTATTAGAAAAAAAAAAAAAAGAAAGAGACTCAGAGAAAATGGTCTTGTGAAGATGGAGACCAACACTTGATTGGATGTCTGCTGTGGGAGGCTGGCTCCCCTCACCCCATCACAGGCTGTCGGGAAGCTGGGAGAAGCAAGGACCCGTCTTCCCAGGAGGCTCCCTAGAGAGCATGGCCTGGCATTTTGGACTTTGGTCCTTTTTAGCTTCTAGAGTGGTGGGGGAGATATTTCTGTTGTCTCAGCCCTCCAGTCTATGGTACTTTGTTATGGCCAAGCCCTAGAACACCAGTATGCCCAGGAAGGGAGCTAGTTCCCAAGAACTGGTGCACTTTTCCTCTCAATGCGATGTTTGCCTCCTCCTTCCTTCTTCTCTTACGGGTGTGGACTCTGGAGACAGGAGCCTGGGTGGTGCCTGTCCCTCCTGGCCGAGCCAGTGTCGGCTGTGTGGCTCTGAGTGACCTAGTGCATCTCCCTGAGCCTTTGTTTGCCAGCTTTAAAAATGATTGAGTAAAATTGGAGTAATATAACTAATGTGAAGTGGTGATTGTTGTGATTACAGATGTTGTACAAGTATCCCTATCTGTTAAAGGTTTATTAGGGATTTATTGTTATTTTTAAGATGTGTTTATTTGAAAGGCGGATTTTACAGAGGGAGGGAGAGGCAGGGGCTTTCCATCTGCTGGCTCACTCTCCAAATGGCTGTGAGAGGCAGAGTTGGGCTGTGTGGAAACCAGGAGCTAGCACAGACACCAGAGGCAGGAGCTCAGCCTGGGTCTTCCAGATGGTTGGGAATTGAGTACCTGAGGGTGCTCCCCAGCAGGGAGATGGATTAGATGTGGAGTAGTCCCATCTGAAACCACGGGCTCCCGACCTAGGAAGTCCGTGTCCCAAGCAGTGACATAACTGTTTCATCAAGTGCCTGCCCTAGGTTTTATACATATTAATTATTCACATCACACTTTATCCTAATAACTCGCATTGAAGTTGTCCCTCAGTCAGTGGGGGCTTGGTTCCCCAAATCAGTGTATTACTCAAATTCGTTGTATGAAATGGCATAACATTTGTATATAACCCGTGTGCATAATCCCACACACTTCAGTTCATCTCTAGATTACTCACCATTCCTAGTAGGATGCAGATGCTGTCTCCGTAGTTGTTACAATGAATTGTTTAAGAGATGATGGAAGAACACGTGGGTCTGTCCAGTACAGATGTGCTGTTTTTCCCCTGTTCTCCGCCATCGTGTGTGTGTGGGGCTGTGTACACAGAGGGCCAGGTGGGCATCACTATGCGATTATTGTGAGCCACATAGCCCTGCTTCCCATTCTCATGGAGCTTCGGGGTTAAGCAACTAAGTACACACTGAGCTAGTGGATTTCTTATGTGATAAGGACAATGAAAGTGCTCTTACGCTCTGGTGGGAGAGGGTAGGCAAGGAAGCTGTTTCCAAGGAAGTGCTGTTTTACTAGGACCTGAAGAATGAGTGAGTTTCCTGGAAGAGAACGGGGAACAGTTGGTCAGGCTGAGGGAATGGCACTCCATATGTGAACTGGTGTGGTAAGGAATTTGGTCATTCTGGATACCAGAGGGTGACCAATGAGGCTGTGAACTGAGGGGGCAGTGGGATGAGATGCTGTTGGCCACTGGGGCAAAGCTTAGACAATGTAGGATTTAGGGTTTTAGCATCAAACCAGTAGATCATGTTCTTAGATTGGTATCCTTTGTGATTTTTTCATTCCCATGTAGAATGCGGATTGTGGATGATGATGTGAGCTGGACCGCGATCTCCACCACCAACCCGGAGAAGGAAGAGGAAGATGATGGGGATCTGCCCGTGGTGTGTATCCTTAAGTCTCCAGGGCTCTATAATGATTGTAGCTCCTCAGTGCCGCCTCCTCGGGCAGACCTGGTTTGTGAGGGAAAAGTAGAGCACCAAGAGCTGTTTACCTGGTCCTGCATGATGCCTGCTTGGACCCTGAGCAGCAGGCTCTCGGGAGAAAATGTCCTTGTCTTGAGTGTTCACCTTCTTCTCGGCTAACAGTATGCTGACAATCTAGAGAGGCACCACAAGTGCAGGATTAGCGTGTTAATGCCACTGTGCCAGTCCCTGCCTATGTTTTTTTTTTTTTTAAGATTTGTTTATTTATTGGAAAGTCAGACATATAGTGAGGAGGAGAGACAGAGAGGAAGATCTTCTGCCTGATGATTCACTCCCCAAGTGAGCACAAAGGCCGGTGCTATGCCAATCCGAAGCCGGGATCCAGGAACTTCTTCCGGGTATCCCACATGGGTGCAGGGTCCCAAGGCCTTGGGCCATCCTCGACTGCTTTCCTGGGCCACAAGCAGGGAGCTGGATGGGAAGCAGGGCTGCTGGGATTAGAACCGGTGCCCATATGGGATCTCGACACGTTCAAGGCACAGACTTTAGCCACTAGGCCACGCTGCCGGGCCCCTGCCTATGTTTTGTTTTGTTTTTAAAGCGGAGTGACATAGAAATAAAGACAGAGTGATCTGTCTGCTAGTAAATTCCTCAGTTGCCTGCAACAGCCAGAGATGGGCGATATTGAAAGCAGGAAGTCTGAGTACCATGCAGGTGGCAAAAACCCAAGTGTTTGGGTCATCGTCTGTTGCTCTCAGGCACATTAGCAGGAAGCTGGATCAGAAATAGAGCTGGTACTTGATTTCAGACACCCTGATAAGGGATTGCAGGTCTAATGTGCCACACCACAGCACTCACCCAACAGCCGTTATTTTAATGCCCAGTGAGAGAGCTTAAACTAGAGTATGTGAGGAGTGATTGTAGGATCTTGGTAGAAGAGAAACAGGAGAGGGGAGTTATGACCACGATTTGAATTCTAGTTCTGCTACTGATTAGCTTGTGACATTGAGAAAGTTACTTCTCCAAGTAATAATTTTCTGTTCAGAAGCACAGAGCTTTTTTTTTTCTTTCTTTTTCAAAGATTTATTTTTAATGGAAAGTCAGATATACAGAGAGGAGGAGAGACAGAGAGGAAGATCTTCCATCCGCTGATTCACTCTCCAAGTGGCTGCAATGGCCGGAACTGCGCTGATCCGAAGCCAGGAGCCTCTTCCGGATCTCTCATGCGGGTTCAAAGTCCCAAGGCTTTGGGCCATTCTCGACTGCTTTCCCGGGCCACAAGCAGGGAGGTGGATGGGAAGCAGGGCTGCTGGGATTAGAACCGGTGCCCATATGGGATCCTGGGCGTGCAAGGCGAGGGCTTTAGCTGTTAGGCTGCTGCACCGGGGCATTTATTTTTGTTTACAATTATTCTGAGGGTCCAGTGGGAACCAGCGCCGATATGGGATCCCAACCCATTCAAGGTGAGGACTTTGGCCGCTAGGCCACGCCACTGGGCCCGTGGGTGCCAGTTCTAATCACGGCAGTTCTACTTCCCATCCAGCTCCCTGCTTGTGGCCTGGGAAGGCAGTCGAGGACAGCTCAAAGCCTTGGGACCACCCAGTTCGGAGACCTTGAAGAAGCTCCTGGCTCCTGGCTTCGGATCTACTCAGCTTCAGTCATTGTGGCCACTTGGAGAGTGAATCATCAGGCGGAAGATCTTCCTTTCTGTCTTTCCTCCTCTCTGTATATCTGACTCTCCAATTAAAATAAATAAATCTTAAAAAGAAAAGAAAAGAAAATCTGCTCTTTAGAGATCAGAGCAAGGATCATTGGAAGGAAGGAAGTTATAGGCAGGTGGACATGAGCCCATAAAACTCTTAGTTTTTGAACGCTTTCAAAATTCAATGGGCTGTAGGTTCTAGGCCAGGTCTGTCTTCATGCTCAGAGCTCTGATTCCAGTCACAGCAGACATGTAGTGAGCTGTCCCCGGGCTTGCCTGAGATCCAGAGTCTGCTCCCTTTTTGGTGAGTACACAGAGGGGAAATCTGGAGAACAGGGCAGGCCCGGGCCCCAACCACCGCCAACATTGTGCTGTGGATGGGATTAGGAGGGGGTGACCTTGGGGTCTGGGGGTTAAGATTCCAGGCCACGTCTGTCTTCATGCTCAGAGCCCTGATTCCTGCCACCGCGTACATGTGGTGAGCTGTCCCCGGGTGGCCAGTGTGCCATTTGGTGCCAGACTCTGCTTGCTGGCTCCCCAGCTGCGAGCTCTGGAGTTTTGGGGCTGTGAATTGCTGTTTAGGCACCTCCATGTTGAGCGATTTATGCTTCTGGGTTGCGAATCAATCTTGAAGACTCCTTACAACAGCGTAACTTTTCCTTTGAAGGTAAGCAAGGGTACTGAGACCTGGTAGGTTGGAGGAGAGGGACCGGATGCTCTGTATGGGTAAGACTGATATACCAGCCTCCTTTGAGTCCTGTGTAGAACTTGTTATCACTGAACAATGCTGACCACCGAACACCAGTCCATGCAGAAGCTAAGGCTGGGGCTTGGCTAGTAGGACCATATCCTAGTACCTGACATAATGATGGATCAGGAGATGGGTCACATTACGCAGGGCCATGAGATTAACTAACACACGAGAGAACCACTTCTGGGGATAGATTCTGTGGGGAATATGTGGGGCAAACCCTGTGGAAATACTAGTCCCACTGGTTAGCTCAAGCATTAGGGTAGGGATGGGCTAAGATAGGTGTGACCAAGGAGCCTGCCATCACTCACGGGTAAAGGAACCAACAACAGTCTGAGCTGGTCAAGGCAGCAGCACCTGAATGTGCATCCTGAATAGGGGGTGGGGTAGGCTGGGCTGCAACGTTCACCAGCTCATACAAGGCCAAATGGAAGGCCAGACTATGCTGGACACTGACCTAACTCCCATTAGCATGTATGAGAACAGGGTCTGGGAGTGGATCAAGTGGAGGAACTTGGGAAACTCCCCTGGCGGGTCATAGCTCCTGCTGGTGAACACATGGTCCAGACCTGGGGGTCAGACAAGCTGGGCAAAGTAGTTCCAACATCTGGCTGGCTAATGTGTGGGTTGGTAATGGAACGGGGTGGACTGGGCAGGACTGAACAAACCTTAGCTCACAAACAAAAATAGAAAGCAGGATGGAGCACAGGTCATGCTGAGCTAGGCTCTTACACCTACCAGTCTGCATGAGCCAGGGACGCTAAGCCACAGCATCTAAGGCAAAGGCCAAGACAGGTGAGGGGCTGTGCCAAGCTGAGTCAGAGCAATCACTGGCATTGCGTACTCTCTGTGGCTGGAAACAGGCCCAGTTGGGGAGCTAAGGGGACACCCTGGCTGGGTTAAGGTTCCCACCAAGGAGCGTGGGGGCTGTGTTCTCATCTGGATATGGCTGCAGACTCCCTTGGCACAAGTGTGGACTGGGACTGGACACACCATGCCGGGCTAGACTCTGACACCATCTGGTGCTCTAGAAGACCAGGGTAGATGTGAGATGGACTAGACTAGGTCTTTGCCCCCAACTGAACCATGTGTGAGCTGTGTTTGGGTATGGATGAGCCTTGGCTGGGCTGAAACATCCAACAATAAGAACCAGGTTGGATTGAAGGCCAGTCAGGAAAGGCCATTGTTCCTACTAGAACAGGAGGTAGACTGAGTAGGGCTGGCTCATGGACCCACTGATATGCGTGAGATCTGGCATTGGGAGAGGTTCTGTTGGAGGAGTCTTTTCAACTCCTTTGGCAGGACACTGTCCCTGCAGGTAAGTGCAAGAAGGACGATAGGGAACAGGCCATGGAAAGGTACCCACTGGCATACATTTGGTATGGGTTGAGGGCAGACTAGGCTGAACCAGTTCACATCACCGCTGGCGAATCTGAGCACTGGAACTGAGTGTGGGTTGGGCCAGGTTCGGTTGCAGCACATACCAGCGCACATTACAGAATGTCAAGGTGAGGTGAGTCATACCAGATGTGGTCTCAGCTCCCAAACAGCACATGTGAGAACCAGGGAGGGAGGGGGCGGAGCTGGCAGGGGGAATATGGGCTCCCCTGCTGGATAGCCACTCCTACTGGAGAGCATGGGTTGGCATGGGGGCAGGCCAGGCCAGGCAGGGCTACAACACCTGTGGACCTCATTTTAACTAGATCAGGGAAAAGCCAGCTTAGACTGACTGTTTGGACTTTTGCAAACAGAAATTAGAGTGGGTGAGGGCTAGTTAGGCTTTGCTGCAGCATCAGCTGGCAGAGGCTGGCACTGGAGGCTAAATCTGTCAAGTTAAATTCTAGAACCACCTGGAGAGTGCATAATCCAGGAGTGGGAGTGGCCTAGAAAGGAAATAATGGGCTCCTCCCTCTTGGGTTACCACTCCCACTGGAGAGCATGAAAACCAGGACAGGGGCTGTGGTGGCTAGACAGAAAGGCACTCAACAGCATGTGTGTTGTCTGGATAGTGGAGCTGGTTAGGTTGAACTAGGCTTCAATGCCCATTGACATGTATGAGAGCTGAATGGGATGTGGGACAGACTGGACTAGTCAGCTGCACATACTGGCAAGCACTGGAACCAGGGCAGGGGGCGGGCCTGGTGGGGGTTATTGTGGGTTGCTCTGACTGGGCTGCAGCTCCCACTGGTTTATGTGAGGGCCAAGTGTGTGCTGGGCAGAATCAGCTGGACGGCAACAACCATTGGTTCATGTGGAAGACAGGGCTGAGAACAGAACCAACCCAGCAATCACAACCACCAGCTGATCTGGGCGATGGACTGTGCCAGGCCCTGTACTTCCTAGCACATACAAGAATCTGGTCTGGGATCACCTCAGACAGTTTCTTTTGGGATCTCCCCATCTGAACTGCCAGACTCAGAACCCTAACCATAAACAGAAGTGCAGGTTCCATGGTCTGCCATGAGTGCAAGTGCCAGAGCTGAGCCTCCTAAGAAGCTCAGATAGAGCAGTGAAGAGCATAACCAGTAGAGGATATGGCAGTCTATCAGAATCTGCAGGGGATACCTGGCACCACAATGGAGGACAGAACTAATCAATCATCTACTCCAGCCATATGTTGGCTGTGAAAAACTGGGCAGACGGAGACTCCAAGGTGGACTATGTCAGTCAGTGGATTTCAAATAGATTTCATCGTGCTTGGAATGATGAGATTGGCAGCAGTTCATGACTGTTGAACTATCAAAACCACTTGTGAGCAAGACCCTCGGAGCATGCTCCACATCAGGGACCTGGGATGGGTGGGAGGCTGGGTATGGCTTCTCCCTATATCTGCCCCCCTTTACCCCAGATACATGACAAAAACAATTACATTCTGTAATGTGGAAATAATAGCTTTACCCACGTTCCTGAAGCCAATGAACCTTTGTGCCCTAGTTAACTATGTAAAGATTGTCAAAAATATAGGAAAAAAAACCCAAATTCAATGGGCTGCCTTGTAAGATAATGTGTTCCCCGTCTTGGATTGAGTAATCACTTATCAGAGATAATTCAGAGAAGATGCCAGTTTGAGAATTTGGAGAATGAAATGTAGATTTGTGCTGTAAAGATTCTGTGTACATCTCTGGCTCACTTGTTGGATTTAAGAATAGCTGACATCGTGACTGTCTACAACACCAAGGTTTCCCAGGAGTCGTGACAGGCATGACAGGGAGGCAGCCTGTGTTCTTCCCTTTGAACAAAAAAGTGAAAGCATGAAAGGAATGTAGCTGCTTTTAGCTTACGCAGTGGCAGGTATGTATCTGGAGTGTTAACAGAAGGCTTTGTAATGAAAGAACCTTTAGATCAGGAGATGGAGCAGTTAGAGGAAGGTCTGTAATTAAACCAGAATATTTAAATCATCACTGGGGATTGGGGAGCAAGCATCACTGAAGGCTACAGCACGTTTTCAGGCTGTGTGCACCTTGTGTCCCAGGAATGCTAACATCAGCACGTTGGGTTTTTGAGAGACCATGGTGTTCCTTATCGCTGTGGTTTTCCTGGACACGGTGTCCTTGTTTCCACAGGTGGCTGAGTTTGTGGATGAAAGGCCGGAAGAGGTAAAACAGATGGAAGCCTTTCGCTCCAGTGCCAAATGGAAGCTTCTAGGAGGTAAGTTCCACCAATAGATGAATCTCAGCTTCCCACTTACAGGGTACACCTGTTTTTTCCCCTCCTTTTCCACACTTTGCTTTTATAGCAATGATAGTTTTGGTGTGTTATTGAGCCTGAAAAATATGGTGGGAAGAATTCAGGATTTCTTTTTTTTTTTTTTTTAATTTATCTATTTATTTGAAAGTCAAAATGACAGAGAAGGAGAGACAGCAATCTTCCCTCTACTAGTTCACGCCCCAGATGGCTATAATACCAAGGTCTGGGCCAAGTTAACGCTAGGAGCCAGAAGCTTTTTCCTGGTCTCCCACATGAATGTCAAGGGCCTAGACACTTGGGCCATCCTGTGCTACCTAGCCCAGGCTGTTAGCAGGGACCTGGACAGGAAGTGGAGCAGCTGAGACACAAACTGGCACCCACATGGGATTCCAGCATTACAGGTCGTAACTTTATTTGCTGTGCTGCAGTGCCTGTCGCAGAGTTCAAGATTTCTTCATTGGAATAGAACATGGGAACTCAGACCGAGAGTCCCTCTTTCTCTCTTGTGGGTTACTGCGGTCAGAAAGTCGCTCGTTTGGGCCTCTTCTCTGGCCTGAATGAGAGAGCAGTTGGCCCACAGGCAGGATTTGACAAGAAACAGGAACACTTTGGAGACTTCAGCCCCTCTGTCCTCTGTCCCCACTGTATGGGTCAAGGGCCAGTGTTTTCTGTATGTTTCATTTGTGTCAATAAATTTTTCTTTGTTCCCATAAATATTGGTATTTCACAGCCCAGTAGCCTCTACTTGCCTACTCTAGACCTTCTCCCTAGGCTTATAATTGGACTTACTGTTAAAAAGGTTTTTTGGCTTTTGTGGGTTTTTTGTTTGTTTGTTTGAGCCTGAGAATTGGCTGCGAGGGCTGTGCTTGTGCCTCGCTGTCTGAGCAGACTTGTGCTCTGCCCTGGTGCTCCTCCTGCCTGACACAGGAGGAGTCCCCACTAAGTCTTTGTGGAGTGGTTGACTTGCAGATAGGCATTTGATGCTTGCAGGCTGCTGCCCTTCACTGAAGGCTCTGCACTGATGCCCCGTTTTCCTGGACCTTTGTAGGTAGGCATAGCTGTTAAGGACCCAGGCCAGTGAGTCCGTCTTGAACCCAGCTCCTTGTGGCCACTGGGAGCATGCTTAGTTTTGCCCCCTGTGTGTATGCTTTCATAGAAGAAAGACCTTGCTCTTTGTAGTTGTTAAATCTCTGATGCTTATTCCTTTCCCCATATTGAGGATGACATCAATTCCTAGACAGGGTTTGTCAATCTGTATTGTACCCTGTGCCATTATGTTAATTATCCTGCATTTTTGATTTGAAAACGAGTATAATAGAAGTGGCAGCTATAGGTTGGTGATCACTGTTGACTCAGGTTTTTATGAACAAAAACTTCAGTCTCAAGATGATTTTATCAGAATCCTTTTCAGTTTTCTTATATGCTACTTTATCCTGCAGTTGTGTTTCCAGACTTTCGTTAATCTGTTCAGAGAGTATGTGGTTTCCATGTTTGAAGGCCTATGAAATACCAGTCTCTTTCTTTGTCTCTCTCTGTCGCACACACTCATGCAATCCTTAATTTATTGCTGAAAATATCCCCAAATTTCTTTTTTTTTTCCTTTTTTTTTATTATATTTTTTACAATCTTTACATAGTTAATTAGGGTAAAATGGTTTAAGGGCTATAGGAAAATAGGTAAGACTATTATTTCCATATTGTTTCCTTCATGTTTAAAGGGGGATATTGAGGGAGAATGCCCACACAATTTCCCACCCTCCCCAGGTCCTGGATGTAGGGCATGGTCCGAGGTTCTTGCTCAAGTGGTTTTGATAGTTCACCAGTTATGAATTGCTGCCAATCTTGCCACTCCAAGCACAATGAGGTCTTTGAAAAATCCACTGATTGACATAGTCCATTATAGAGTCTCCGTTTGCCCCGTATTTTGCTGCCAACATATAGCTGAGATGATTGGTTGACCTGTTCTGTCTTCTTGCTTTTCTTGGTTAGGGTTCTGAGTCCAGCATTTCGATTGGGGAGATCTCCAAAGAAACTTTGTCTGAGGTGTTCCCAGACCAGATTCTTCTTTGAGCTAGCAAGTACAGGGCCTGGCACAGTCCATCACCCCGATCAGCTGGTGGTTGTGATTGCTGGGTTGGTTCTGTTTTCAGCCCTGTCTTCCACTGGAACCAATGGTTGTTACAGTCCGGTTTGGTTCTGCCCAACACACACTTGGCCCTCACATAAACCAGTGGGAGCTGCAGGCTAGTTGGAACAACCCACAATAACCCCCACCAGGCCCTCCCCCTGCCCTGGTTCCCATGCTTGCCATTATGTGCATCAGACTTGTACAGTCTGTCCCACATTCCCAAAGTTCTGACTGCTTCTCCGCTTTTATTAATGTCATGGAATTTACCAGCCTCATGGGTTAGCTTTACTGTCCGGTCTCCTGCAGACGCTCATGCTTTTCCCTGGAGGGTGGATCTAATGTGGTAGGCCTGTCACCTGAAGAGAGAAGAAGCCTTGGTTTATTTCATGTACTTAGCAAGTATCCACGTGGTCCTGTCCAGGTTTTTGGTTTTTGTCCATGGAGCTCATTGATAAGAATTAGAAGGAGAGGAGGAACTGGTTTTGAGGAATGTTCTAGTGTCTATAAACATTTTATTTTATTATGTTGTGGCTCTGAAATGGATGGTGTGAAAATATGAATTTTTTCCTCTGCTGCATATTTTTAAAGATTTCACATGGACTGTGGTGAGTGCTTGGCTATCCATAAGGAGGTGAGCTGTGAGACCTGGTGGGCTGAGTAGTCCTAAGGTGTACGCTGACTGGATGGTTGGGAATCTGACTCTGCCCTTTGTGTTTAGGTCACAGTGAGGACCTGCCTTCTCCAGGGCGTTCCCATCACGACACCCCGGATCCGTCTCCTCCCAGGAGGGGCCGTCAGGATACTCCAGACCCTTCCCCTGCCAGGGCAATCCGTCATGACACCCCAGAACCCTCCCCTCCCAGGGGCATCCGTCACGACACTCCGGATCCCTCCCCTCCTAGGAAGATTCGTCACGACACCCCGGATCCCTCTCCTCCCAGGAGGATTCGTCACGACAGCCCGGATCCTTCCCCTCCCAGGAGGGTCCGTCACGACAGCCCGGATCCCTCCCCTCCCAGGAGGGTCCGTCATGACAGCCCGGATCCCTCCCCTCCCAGGAGAGTCCGTCACGACAGCCCGGATCCCTCCCCTCCCAGGAGGGTCCAGCGTGACTCCCCTAGGAGGTCCCGTCCTGGTTCAGCAGAAACATCTTTTCCTGGGAGAGCTCACAGTTCTTCCAGAAGAGCCCGTGACAGTTCCCCGGACACATGCCAACCCAGGATGACTCTTAACAGCTCGGACACAGGGCAACTCAGGAGGGCCCGTCATGACTCCCCTAGTTCGGCACCTGATGTCACTCATTCAGTGTCCAAAACCAAAAGTAACAAAGCCCCAGAAACGGCACCTAGCAAGATTTCTCATTCATCACTCCCAAAGAAGAGCAAATATGACTGTGACTCAGAGCTCTCCCCGCCACACAAAAAGAAAGCAAAATCACATTTTGGAGACAAGAAGCAGCTTGATTCTAAAGGTGAGTGTGTCGCCGTGTCACCGTCCACGAAGCACTTACTCCTTGTTGGTTTTCTGTTACATCTTTACTTGCTCTGTCAGGTGTGAGAATGGGGTTTCTTTGAAAAGTGAAAGACTCAGCTTAGAGAATTAAAAAATGACAGTGGCAGAGGGAAAGTTTTTAATGAATTCCTTTATTTTCTCTCCTCCCCATGTATAAAAATACTACATGCTTGTGGCAGAAGTTTTAGAATGTACAGTAATGTACAAAGCAGCAGAAAAGAAGTGATGCAAAATTCTGTCACTCAGGCAATCCCTGGGCATGTTGTAACCAGTGTCCTTTTGGCCTTTTAAAAAAATTAATCTATTTGAGGGGCAGAGGTCTAGTGAAAAAGAGAGCTCCCGTGTGCTAGTTCACTGCCCAGATGCCTGCAGTATCCTGGGCTGAAGCTGGAGGCCGGGCACTTGGTCCAGTTCTGTCTGGGTGGCACAAGCCGAGGCTGCTGCCTACTGGGATTTACGTCAGGAACTGGAGCCTGATGTTGAACCCAGCCACTCTAATGTGCAGTGTGGCCATCTCAGCTAGTAAGTTAAGTGCTTGCCTGCTATTATTCTCTCTCTCTCTTTTTTTTTTCTTTAATTTAGTATGTATTTCCAACTTTGGCCATCCCGTGGTGAGCTGACTCCAGGTTGCCTTTTGCCTGGTCTGAATCTGACATGGGTGGGTGTTGAGGTTTTGATGCATTAGTGACAAGTCAGGGTCCTGCCTGGTGCTTTGGAAATGTCTCTGCCTTGGCTCTTTTCCCCAGAGCATCTGTGCTTGTGTTTAGGTCTGTGTTGCATGTAAGCTGGGTAGGTTTTTCTTGAGGAGACTTCCAATGAGATTAGTTTACTGTTTAATTTCTAGGCTCTTCTCCCATCCAAATAAAATGCCTTTTAAATTCTTCAGCTAAGAGACTTCTGAGTCACACATGGGACTCTTCTTCCCATGCAGGGACCTGCCAGGAAGCTCCTGATTCTGATCTTTCTCCTCCACGCCGTAAACAAAACCCAAGGCCTCAGAATTCAGATTCAGACCTGTCTCCTCCACGGAATAGACCTCAGCGCCGAAGCTCTGATTCTGACCTCTCTCCACCACGGAGGAAACGGCAAACCAGGTCCCCTGATTCTGACCTCTCTCCACCACGGAGGAAACGGCAAACCAGGTCCCCTGATTCTGACCTCTCTCCACCAAGGAGGAAACGGCAAACCAAGTCTCCTGATTCTGACCTCTCTCCACCAAGGAGGAAACGGCAAACCAGGTCCCCTGATTCAGATCTGTCTCCACCAAGGAGAAGTCAGTCTTCTGGAAAGAGGGTAAGAGCACTGTCCTTCCAGTCTTGACTTCACACGAGTGCTGGGGAGCTGAGCCAGAGAGGAGGAAGCACTAGCAGCACAGGGGCTCACGGGGTAGAAGTACCCTTGGAGAAGAAAAGGAAAATTAGAAGCATTTGTTCCACCCACATTCCCCCCTTGCCTCAACCCTCATCACCCTAATCACTGGTCCTTATGGGTGTGCATCCTTGTCAATTATGTAAACGGCATCAGAAAAGAAAAAAATAGAAGTACCCTTGAAGGACTCTGCCTTTCTCTCTGGGCAGGATTGGCTGTAACCCCACCTAGATGTCCCTAACAAATCTCAGGTTGATAAAGCTAGAAAAACTTCCTGTTTTTCTGCCTGTGAGTAAATGAAGGGTTGTAGTTTGCTGGGTGAAATTTGAGGCACAAAGCTTGTATCAGATTGATCGGGTAATTGGGTCCTATGTCTGCTACTTAATAAATGTGATATTTGGGCAAGATGCTTAATATCGGCATCTCAGTTGTAGATAATGATAGTACCTTAAGATTATTCTGAGAAATGAGTTAAGTATGAGTGAAACTTAGGACAAAGTGAGTATTTAGTGCAATTTGTTAAGAGTTTGATTGCATGTCTTTAGCTCAGACATAAAGAGAGTTACTTAAACTGTAAAATCACTTTCAGAAATTACATTGTCTGGAGAATGTGTTTTGTTGTATTTTGTATCTGTGATAAGGCTTGGGGAATTAGTAAAATGAAAAGCCACTTGAACCGTGAGTATTCGTAAAGAAGAGCAGCAGGAAAAGCATCTGAACTACAGCTAGTTAGGAACTGAGGCTTCCTGTTTCTCCTTAAGTCTTCTCAGGAGAAGACAGACCCAGAAAGGATTGGTCCTTAGCAAGGTCAACTGGCCTGTCCTAAACTTACTTTTAGGAAGAAAAAAAAAAAGGTATCTGTGTCAACTGGACCCCTTGACATTTTATGTATCTGTTTAGTTCTTGGAAAGTTTGATATTATTCATTGAAGGATATCAAGACAAACCAACTATTCAATTTGTGATGTGGGCTTTATTCTCTTGATGCAAAGTGGAGATTAGTAAAAAGATTTCCTTTGGTCATATCTTGTTATTTCCTGAAATAGATCTACAGTGTAAGACCTAACATTTGTTCAGGTTTGTGCTTTAAGTGGAGAAGTTGTTTTCAATTTGGTCTGTTCTGGAGAGCCTAGAGCTTTGTACAACTTTATGATACTGAGTCTTGAGGTGTACAGTTCATATGCTGCAAAGTTAGGACTACAAATGCTAAGCTCGCCCTCTTACTCATTGTTGGTGTGTGTTTCCGTTTATTCTTTAACTTGATGGTACTATTACATTATCCATGAAATCTGATTTTACTCATTTTCTGTTTTGCAAATCCTTTGGTGATGATGAGAACACAAAGTTGGAAATCTTTAATTGATCATTATTGATCATCAGACAAAAATGTGGTTAACCATGTATACCATGGACAGTGCCTCATCTGTAACAGGCGTTTTCTTTCTCATTGTATAGGCTGCGCACATGTATTCTGGGGCGAAAACTGGGTTGGTGTTGAATAATGTAAAGCAAGAACAGCAGGAACTCAAGAAACAGGACCAAGAATCCATGGAGTTCGAAGGTAAAAATGTGGAAGTGCTTAGAATATTTCAAGTCAGTGGAGCTTTTATTTTTTTGTTTTTGATGTAGCTTATTGATAATTAATTGCTGTCAAATTTCAACTTTGTTGTAATGCATCCATTTTAACTTTGCCATGGGGATTAAATGGTTCCTGCCTTCTTGGAAAAATGTCATTTCTCAGGCCCATTACCAAAGTGCTGCTAGATGTTATCTAGGAACTGTCAGTGGTCTGGCTGTAGAGGTCCTTACCTAGCATCTGAATCCTAGGCTGTTGGTATCATGTGTTAGAATATTATTTCTGATTTGATACCCGTTATATATCTTTTTCTTTCTTTCTTTCTTTTTTTTTTTTTTTTTTTGGTAGCTCAATTCCAGTTTGCTGAAACTGTATTTCGAGATAAACTTGGTCGTAAGAGGAATTTGAAGCTGGAGCGTTTAGAGGAGAGGAGAAAAGCGGAGAAGGACATGGAGAGAGATGAGTTGTATGCACGATGGGGAAAAGGGTAAGGAAACAACAGGAAAACAAGGCTGCAGGGATCAGAGCAGGCCGTTTCTTGTCCTGCCCAAGCTGTTATTACACAGTGAATGTGACTTTAAAATAGTGATGATGAGATGCATGGAAAGGTGAGGGGAGTGGAAAGGAGGAGGGTTGGGCAACAGGTAGGGAACTAAAACACAGTCAGGTGAACCTGGCAGCTTCCCGTGTACTGCAGCACAGTAGTGGTGACTGAAGCTCTTGATGGTGTGAAGTACCCTGTCTAAAAGACTAGAAGAGGGGAGCTGGTATACTCCAAATAGGATTGCCTGATGTGGTTGATGTGGTGTATTTGGAAAAGTTGTATTATACCCCTTAAAACTGTGCAGATATTGCACATTAATGTAAAAAATTTTTTTAACATACCATTAATCAGGAATGGGAAATTCATTGTGCTGAACCCCCTAGAATACCGATTTACTTCACACTTGCAGCTCATATTCTGAGAATTTTACTGTTTTCGGTGTTTAGCCTGAGCTACTGGGAGGAGTATGGTCATCTCAGTGTAGGAGTGGAAGTGTCACAGTCACAGCCCCTCCTGGTTCTGTTTGGTTCAGGCTTGCCCAGGGCCGGCAACAGGAACAAAATGTGGAGGATGCAATAAAAGAGATGCAGAAGCCTCTGGCCCGATACATTGATGATGAAGACCTCGATCGGATGCTGAGAGAACAAGAAAGGGAAGGGGACCCCATGGCCAACTTCATCAAGAAGAGTAAGGCCAAGGAGAACAAGAATAAGAAAGGTGAGACTCCTGGCAGTCACCAGATCTGGACCTGATTTGTGTGAAGGGAGAGAATTATTAGGGCGCGCACACACAGCCATGTGTAAAAGAAGGCTTTCCCATGTACTTTTAAATTCCTTTGTATTAGAGAATTTAAATTTAACTTCACTGATACTACTGTTTTCCCCCTGAAAGTTTATTTATTTACTGGACAGACTTACATTTCCGTTTACTAGTTCATTACTCCCCAAAGGGCTACATTGGCCAGAGTTGGGCCAGCAGGAAGCCAGAAGATGAAATTCTATCCAGGTCTTCCATGTTGGTGGTAGGGGCCCAAGTGATTGGGCCGTCCTTCGCTGTTTTCCTAAGCGTGTTGGTAGAGAGCTTGATTGGAAGTGGACCAGCCAGGATGCAAATCATTGCTCACAGGGGCTGCCTTAACAGTAGGGGGTGGCTTAAGCCACTACACTACGATGCAGTAACTCTTTTCCTTTCCTTCCTTAGTGAGACCTCGCTACAGTGGCCCAGCACCTCCACCCAACAGATTCAACATCTGGCCTGGGTATCGATGGGATGGAGTGGACAGGTAATCCTGAGTATTTCCTACATTTGCTTGTTCTCTTCTGCCTGACCCTAACGTTTCCTAATTGTTTTTAAATCTATATTCTGCCTCATTCTCTGTGACAGTCACAAGGTGAGTAACTTAAAGTTTGGGACAAAAACTTAGATGGTTAATATAGGATACCTTTGTTTTAGACATTTACTACCAACCTTTTTTATTTTTAAGATTTATTTTTATTAGAAAGTCAGATATACAGAGAAGAGGCGAGACAGAGACAAAGATCTTCCATATGTTGATTCACCCCCCAAGCGACTACAGCGGCTGGAGCTGAGCTGATACAAAACCAGGAGCTAGGAGCCTTTTACAGCTCTTCCATGTGGGTGCAGGGTCCCAAGGCTTTGGGCCATCGTTGACTGCCTTCCCAAACTGCAAGCAGGCTGCTGGATGGGAAGTGAGGCTGCCAGGATTAGAACCAGTGCACATATGGGAACCCAGTACATGCAAGATGAGGACTTTAGCCACTAGGCCACTGTGCCAGGCCCATTAGCTACCTTTCATATTTTTAAGGTTTAGAGGGAATGAATAATGAGTTGCGGTCTGCAGCCTTCTGTATGTTTTATCTGTAAAATGTGGCCCTGTAGTTCTTAGGAGCGAGCTGCTTGTAATGTTTCCCAAACTCTAATACCTCATATATTCACTCACCAGCGTCTGTGCCCATGTGCTCTACTTCCTTTCTGTCATGATGGTTGAGCTGTATTGCTCCTACCCCGAGTCAGTCCCTCTACTGTTAGACAAGATCGGGCGCGTTCAGGGTGGTATGGCTGTAGACACAGTCCCTCTACTATCAGATCTCACCTCATTTCTTGCCTACTAAAGAACATTGTTCTAGTATCTAGCACAGTGATTCCTAAACTTTCTAATTTCATGATCCCTTTATGCTCTTAAAAATGTAGGACCCACAAAATCCTTGTTTATGTAGACTATATTGTTATTCACCATTTTAGAAATGAAAACTGAGACATTTAAAGAGTATACTAATTTATTCTGAAAAATAGTAAGGCTATGATAACATAATTACTATTTTTTAAAATAAAAATAACTGTTTTTCAAATTGCAGAAATACCAACAAGGATAGGGTTGATCTATGTTTTTGCGAATCTCACTCGTCTGACTTACATAGCCAGCTGGTTTTCTCTTTGTCTATTATCAGGTGTTGTTTAGCTGAAGTGCAGAAGGTTCAGTCTGCCCCTAGGAAGGCAGAGAAGGGGCACATACTGTATTCACAGTGTCTCAAGTACATGTTGATTCCATAAAGGTTAGGTCTCTGGAATCTGAAACCCTATCACAGAACTTTTCATTCTGTTGCATCAAAATCCGTTTTATTTTTTCTTAATTTGAGTGAATCTTCTATCCATGTGTAACTTTAGTACATTTTTAAAATTTTCATTTGAAAGGCAAAGTTACAGAAAGGAGAGACAGAGATCTTCCATCTACTGCTTCACTACTGAAATGGGCACAGTAGTTGGAGCTGGGGTAGTCCAAAGCCAGGAGCTCGAAGCCTTCCCTGGGTCTCCCATGTAGGCACAGGGGCCCAAGGAATTGGGCCATCCTCCACTGCTGCTCCCGTGCGTTAGCAGGGAGCTGATTGGAAGAGGAGCAGCCAGGACTGGAACCCAGTGCCTGTATGCTATGCTGCAGGCAGCAGCTTAGCCAGTAATGCTCTACCACAGTGCCTTTAGTCATTTTGTTGTTATTTCTAGACTCATTTCCTAGTTTTTATCAATATATTTATTTGCTTTGAAAGGCACAGAGACAGATTGAGTTCCTGTCTTCTGTGTCAGACTCCTCGTGCCTGTTACAGCCAGGGTTGTACAGCCTGAAGCCAAGAGCCAACAGCTAAGTTGAGATTTCCCGCATAGGTGTGGGGGTCTAACTTCTTGAGCAGTCACCTGCCACCTCCCAGGGTCTGCATTAGCAGGAAACTGGAATCTGCAGTGAGCTGAGACTCGATCCCAGACTCTGATATGAGATGCAGGCATCTTAGTCAGTACACCACATGCCTGCTCAGTACGTGAGCTATAACACGTGTCAGTCGATTGCAGAGCACTGATGTGCTGAGTTCTACAGCTGTTCCGAATGTTGACATATTTTCATTATACAGTAACAAAAAATGTTGCTGTTGTTAACATGATCTCTGACCTTATCACAAGACTCTTCAAATATGGAGAACTAAGAATTATGGTGACACTTTTTCAGAATTCTAATTTACACTTAAAACCTTGAATCTTATAATTGGTAACAAGTGTTGTCAGTTTTTCTTGATGGATAGCTCACTTTGTATGATAATTATGTTTGTAAACACCATCAGATTTTATATCTGAATTGTACTATTTTTTAATATAGACTGTTTTACTTCCTCTTTTCTGTTCTGAATGGCTTTATTTATGTATTTATGTATTTATTTATTTATTTTGGCACATGGCATTAGCTAATCTTTCCAGTGCAGAGCCTAACTAGAAATTGTAAGAGCTGATGTCTTTTGTTTATTTCTAATCTTAGCAAAACATGGTCTTCTGTGATTAAATGTGTATTTTTAAGTTTTTTTTTTAAATCAATAAACCTAAAGTTCCTTTCTGTTTTTATTTAGAATTTTTTTCACGTATGTTGGATTTTTTTTAATATTTTAAGTTTGTTGGTTTTTATTCTTAGAGTTAACATGGCAACATGGTGGTATTTGAACTATAAATTATCTCTTCTGCAATGGGCAACACCTAAAATTTCTGCTTGTTTTTTTTTTTTAACATAAAAATTTTTATATATTTGGAAGACAAATATACCGACTGGTTTACTCTCCAAAAGCACACAGTGGGGTGGCTAGTCTGTGCCAGAGCAGAAACCAGGAAGTCTGTCCACATTTGTCACGTGAGTGATGAGCTGTCGGCTGCTGCCTGCCAGGTCTGCATTAGTAGAAGCTGGAATTGGGAGCAGGAACAGGGCTGAAGCCCAGGCACACTGCTATGGGAAATGCATATCCCAAGTGGCACTTTAACTGCTGTGCCAAACATCTATTCCTGTTTTTCTTTTTTGTTGTTTGGTCTAATTTTTTGTTCTCAAAACTAAGAATTTTCTCTGACCTAGTTTTGTGCTGATGTTTTCATTACCCAGTTGCTTTTTTCCACTTCAGATTTTATTTTTACTGAAGATTTATTTAGGGGCTGGCATCTGGCTCAACTGGCTAATCCACCTCCAGCATCCCATATGGGTGATGGTTTGTATCCTGGCTGCTCCACTTCCCATCCAGCTCTCTGCTTTATGAGCCATTGCCTTAGGACCCTGCACCATGTGAGAGACCCAGAAGAAGCTCCTAGCTCCTGGTTTCAGATCAGCTCAGCTCCAGCCCTCACAGCCACTTGGGGGGTAAATCATTGGATGGAGGACGTTCTGTAAATCTGCCTTTCCAATCAAAATAAGTAAATATATATAAAAAAAAAAAGAGAGAGAGAGAGGCAGATTAGTATTGAAGGAGAAACAGAGATATCTTTGATCCACTGGTTCACTCCCCATATGATTGCAGTGGCCGTCCAGAGCTGGGCCAGTCTGAAGCCAGAAGCTTCTTCCAGATCTTCCACATGGATATGGGGGCCCAGGGATTTGGACCATGTTTTGCTGCTTTCCCAGAAGCAGGGATCTGGATCTGAAGTGGAGCAGCTGGCACATGAACCAGTGCCCATATTGGATGCTGGTACCACAAGCAGAGGTTTAACCTATGATATCACGGTGTTGGCCCTTAACATTTTGTTTATTCTTTTATTTTGTATTGTCATCTTGCTTACTTTCTGATTATTCAGTCTTTAATCAATTTTCCTAGTTTCGTGTCCTCTTGGCCTACCGTAGGGAATTTTTCCCAGAACAAATTTGTAATTTATAGTCAGAAAAACCCATTAGATTAGTTATTCTAACTCCATTACTTAAGGAAGAAAGTGAGGACTAGATAAATCTGCAGTTTACGTACAGTCAGGTCTCTAGCGTGATGATGCTAGAGTTCTGAGCAAAAGCCGGTTCTTGTCTCGGCTGCTCCACTTCCCATCCAGCTCTCTGCTTGTGGCCTGGAAAAGCAGTAGAGGATGGCCCAATGCTTGGGACCTTGCACTTGTGTGGGAGACCCAGAAGAAGCTCCTGGCCCCTGGCACTGGATTGGCTCAGCTCTGGGGGATGTGACCCAGCAGATGGAAGATCTTTCTGTGTCTCCTCTCTGTGTATCTGCCTTTCCAATAAAAATAAATAAATCTTTTTTAAAAAGAAAGGGAAAGGGAGGGAAAGAAGAAAGGAAGGAAGGATGGGAGGGAGGGAGGAAGGAAAGGAAGAAAAAGAAAGAAGAGAAGAGAAGAGAAGAGAAAAGAGAAGAAAGAGCAGCTTATGTCCCAGTGTAAACCCCAACTTTACAGGGACCAGCGTTTGTCCTAGTGGTTAAGCTGCTGGTTAAGGTACCCACCTCCCATATCAGAGTGCCTGGGTCCAATACCCTGCCCTGGTCTCATTTCCACTTCCTGACGGTACAGACCTTGGGAATCAGCATGTGATGGCTCAAGGAACTGTGTCCTTGCCATGCATATGGGAGACTTGGATTGAGTTTCTGGCTCCTGGCTCTGGCTGCAGCCCATCTCAGCCCTGGATGTCATGTGCATGTCAGGAGTGATGTGAGCTCTGTCTCTGTGTCTCCTGCCTGGTAAAAAGACCAACCCATTTTTTTCAGAATGAAAATCTAAGCTTTTTGCCATGCTGTACCAAGCTCACTAGGACTTGGATTCTGTCTGCCCTTCCACCTTGGACTTCTTTCTTGTTCTGTAGGCTGCAGCACTACACGTATCAGGACACTATTTCTCAGCCCTTCTTCTTGCTGCTCATGCTGGTCTCTGGCCCTACATGACCCTGATCCTCCAGCTCCTACACCCTGCTCTAGCCCTGTGGTCAGTGCTTGCTCTTTCAGCCTTTGCTGACCATTTTTGTCCATCTTTTGCTTTACTGTTTATTGGGTTGCTGAGTAAGATCTATTCTGTTACATGTTACTCCATGTGTATTTTTACCATACTTGATGCTTTCTATTTCAGTTTTAGTTGTTTAGATGTCTCTCTCTTCTATTAGTCCATGAATTCTTTATGGTGAGAATTGTTGTATTCATTCTCCTAAGGCTTAGCACAGTGCCTGATGAGAGTAAGTGCTTGTTTAGTGAGTAGGTGAGCTGTAAGCTGTTGAAATCAGCTGAGCTTAAGAGAATGGTTAAGATTTGAAATAGTTGTCACAGAGTGGGAGGAAGGGCTGAGCAAGGGCTGAGGAGACAAATTATATTTTGTCCCTCTGATCCTGTTGCATATGCTTTTGGTGTTTTCACAGAGCTGTTTGTACTTCCTTCTGTCCCATTATTATTGTGAACTTTTCTGTCCTTTATAAAATACATGTGCAGTTGAGGATTGTGGTTGGCATCTCTTAATTGCAGATCCAATGGGTTTGAACAGAAGCGCTTTGCCAGGCTTGCCAGCAAGAAGGCAGTGGAAGAACTTGCCTACAAGTGGAGCGTTGAAGATATGTAACTTTCCAGAGCCTGTGCAGGTAGATGTGGGCTGTAGTGGCGGGCACAGGGCAGCTAGACCTCCGGCAGGAATGATCCTCCGTACTCGTGATCACAGCCACGCAGACCAGCAGTCAACACGGGGTTCACCACAGAAGAATGAAGCCAGATTTTTGGACAGAGGTACCTGTGCTTTGCAGGTGTTCCAGCACTGGCTGTGGCTGACTTTTCACAGGAAGCACTGATTTCCGTGCCCCATCCTTTGTTCTTGGTTGAAATTTTTTTCCTTCTTTTTAAAAATAAACACTCATTTATTTTTCTAAAAATAACTTTCTTGCATGGGTTCTCTGCTTTGGGCAAGAATGTAAGCCAGTCTTGAATTTCCAGAGGTCTTGGGGATGGTGATTGGCTGTTTTATTAATTAAGAAGTCAATGTAAGTAAAAAACTTTCACCATGCTTTTTGCTCTAAGAGAACAAGAAGTAGTACTAAACTGAATTTAGGACTAGACACCCGGACACAGCATTTGATAAAGATAGTGACACAAATTAGTGGGAAAGAGATGAATAATGGTGCTCAGATATTTGCTTATTGAACAAATATAAGCTTAGCTCCATACCTCATCATTTCACATACAATGAAAAGCAAAACAGTCGAAGACCTGAATGAAAGGCAACATGACAGAGCTAGCAAGAACAACTGGTGTCTTTAATGACTTTGGGCTAGTGGGCAGTTCCTAATTATGCTCTCAAAGCATAGCCTGTAAGATCTGCTGCCTTTGAGGTCTTTGGAGCTAGATTTCGATTCAGCAGGGCATCTCCTAGTCAAGGCTGTGCTGGGTGAGGATTATAAAGGAGTATTTGCAATGTTCAAATATATAAGGGATTCAGAAAGAACTGCAAATTAGCAAGAAAAAGACAACACAAAATAAAGAATATGCAAAGAGTATAGAAAAGCAAAGTCAAATGAGAAAACTTGAGTTGCTAGTAAATGTACTCCCTCAGTAGGAATTAGGGAATAGTTAGCTGGAGCCCTGAGTTTCTACTTTATATCTGTTAGTCTGGCAAAAATGATTATCTGAAATCTGAGGAAAACAGAGACACGGGGAATTTTGACTACTGCATCCATTGTGGAGAACAAGTGGGCAACACTTACTGAAGCCACAGATGGCCTGAGTGCGCTAGTGCTGTTTGGAGCGTGTTGCTCTGGAATTCCTGTTGCCTGAGTCCCAGCTGTATCCTTTGCTAGCTATGTGAGGCTTGGGAAGCCACTAAACCTCTGTGTGGCTGATGTTCTTCATTGGCAAGGTGAAGATAATAGTACCCAACTCATAGGCTTACTGTAAGCTTGGAGAAGTATCTGGCATAAAGTAGTAGTAAAATTGCTTGCTGCTAGGATTCTTTGTCATCAGCCTCCAGAACGGCCTCCCGCCTTCTGGCATTCAAGCTGTTGGGTAGTGCCCTCCCACAGTGAGTAACACTGACATGGGTAGCTGATAATGAGCGACAGACATTGAAGCATACACCTGGTACTGCCTTGGGTCACTCACTTGGGGAAAAGCCATCCTCTGGGTCATGAGGATACTCCAGCAACCATCTGAAGAGCCCCATGGTGGGGTGGGGGCAGGCAGCCTTGTGAGCAAACCACCTTAGGGTGGGCCTCCGGCTCTGTTCAAGCCTTCAAGTGCTTGCCACCCTGACAGCTTGACTACGACTTCATAAGAAGCCCTGAGCCAGAACTACCCACCTCGAAATTCTTTCTCTCTTTATTTAAAGATTTATTTATTTTCATTGTAAAGTCAGATGTCAGATAATACACAAAGGAGGAGAGACAGAGAGGAAGATCTTCCATCCGATGGATGATTCACTCCCCAAGTGACCGCAGTGGCCGGAGCTGTGCCGATCTGGAGCCAGGAGCAAGGAGCTTCTTGCAGGTCTCCTGTGCAGGTGCAGGGTCCTGAGGCTTTTGGCTGTCCTCAACTGCTTTCCCAGGCCACGAGCAGGGAGCTGGATGGGAAGTGGGGTTGCTGGGATTAGAACCGGTGCCTATATGGGATCCCGGCATGTTCAAGGAAAGCACTTTAGCTGCTAGGCCACCGTGCTGGACCCAGAAATTCTTTCTTTTCTTATCATGTTTATTTGAGGGCCTGAACGGGAGGTGTTTGGACACTGCTGCTTTGAGTATAGCATGGGGCACCAATATCATATCACAGTGCCTAGGATCAAACTCTGCCTCTGTTTCCTGTTCAGCTTCCTGTCCGTGTGCCTGGGAGAGAGCAGGACTGGTTTCCTGCCATCCACGTTGGACGCCCTGGTGGCATCCTGGCTCCTGACTTCAGCCTGGCCCAGCTTTGACTGCTATAGGTATTTTGGAGAGTGAACAAGCACTTGGAAGTCATGTCGCTCTGTCCTTCAAATAAATACGAATTAATCAATCAAAATACAGACTCTAAGCCAGGAAAGTGAGAGGGAACCAAAAGGATGAGCAAAGAAAGAGAAGAGCTCCCTTGTCGCTGGGTCACTCCCTTAATGCCAGCAGTGAGTGGCTCACTGGCTGGAACCAGAGCTGAGAGACAGGACGGCAGTCAGTCTCCTGGGGAGTGGCAGGAATCTGATCACGTGAGTCTGCAGGAGCTGGGGCCGGGCAGTACACCCAGGCACTCCAGCATCGGCTGTGGGTGTGTGAGCCAGCACCTTGACTCTGAAGGCAAAGGGCTGACTCAAATTCCCAGAAACTGGGAGATAATAGGCATTACATATATATATTTTTTCATGTGTACTCTCATTTATTTGCTGTTTTAAGATGTCTGGTTCAAACGCAGAAAGATGCTCTTTGCTGCCATGACATTGCGTGAGTAAACCCTTCTTGTGGGAATTCGGCCTCTGTGTTGGGTAATGCGTCAGAGGCAGGTGTCTGCTTATTCACTTGCAAGGCCACCTCACAGTGGTTTCAGAGAAACCGCTTAGAAACTGTTTTTTGAAAAATGGCTTTACTAAGATGTGATTTATGTAGTATACAGTTCATCCGTTTGAAGTAGTGCAGGGAAGTTTAGCAATTCAGAGCCATCATTTTAAGGCTTTTTTAAAAATCACCATGTGAACCCAAGAAATACTGTACCATCAACAGTAAGTCTCCACTTTTCCAAACTCCCCCAGCCTTGGGCAACTTCTAATTTACTTTCTGTAAGTTTTCCTTTCTGGAATTTTGTATGGTGTGTGAATGGGAATATCCCATATGTGACCTTTTGGGACTGACTTTTTCAATTTAACATGTTTTCAAAGTCCACCCATGTTGTGACGTGTTTGTACTCTCCCCTTTAATGGCTAAGTAGTATTCCTTGTGTTGAGACCACTTTTGTATTGAGCCGTACATTATTTGGTGGACATCTGGGTGACTGTGAATGATGCTCTGTGAACAGCTCATGTGGAAGTTATCATGTGGATGTGTGTATTTTCTTTGATTTATGCTGGGACAAACATTGTAACTCAATGTTTAACTTTTTGAGGAACTGACGAACTTCTAAAGTAGCAAATTAGAGTTCTGAGCTGTCCACATGCTTGTCAACACTTTTTATGACCTGTCTTTTGAGTATAGCCATTCTACTGTTTTTTTTTAAGATTTATTTATTTAGTTAGTTATTTTTAAAAATTTATTTTTATTGTAAAGTCAGATGTCAGAAATACACAGGGGGGAGAGACAGAGAAATATCTTCTGTCTGATGATTCACTTCCCAAGTGACCGCAGCGGCCGGTGCTACGCTGATCTGAAGCCAAGAGTCAGGAGCTCTTCTGGGTCTCCCACATGGGTGCAGGGTCCCAAGGTTTTGGGCTGTTTTTGACTACCTTCCCAGGCCACAAGCAGGGAGGTGGATGGGAAGTGGGGCTGCCGGGATTAGAACCGGCACCCATATGGGATCCCAGTGTGTTCAAGGCAAGGGCTTTAGCTGCCAGGCCACCGTGCCCGGCTCTCTACTGGGTTTTTAATTGGAATTGCCCTACAGCCAATTGGGTTATGTGTTGTGTGTGTGTATATGAGTGCATTATGTGTATAAACACATAACACAAGTAAAGAATTCTTGATATATTGGGGTAACAGGTCCCTTATGTGTTGTTTGTGAAGATTTTTTGTCTATGAGTTGTTTCTTTAGCCAGAGTTTCAGGATGAGTACTTTTCATTTAGGGTAGCTAATTTGGGAAACAGCAGCCAGATAGATTAAATATGGCCACAAGTCAGAGTACTTCTATTCCTGGCTGAATCCCTCAGACAAACTTGCATGATCCTCCCCGAGTTAGGTAAAGAGGTGTTGGCCTGAGTAGTATGGAGAGCAACAAGCTCAGGCCATCTTCTACTCCTTTCCCAGGTCACAAAGCAGGGAGCTGGATAGGAAGTGGAACACCCAGGATACGAACTGGCACCCATATGGGATCCCAGCAGGTGCAAGGCAAGAATTTAGACATTGAACCATCATACCAGGTCCCTGCAATCTTAATTCTTAAGGAAGATACATGAGGGGATCTCCAAAAAAGTCATGAAAAATTGAATTAAAAGTTATTTTTGTGCAAAAAAAATTTTTGAAGTGCATGTTAGTTTTTTGGGGAGGTGCGGGGGAGGTTAATGGCTTTATTGACAAGGGCAACGGAAGAGACTGCACACTAGGTTGGTGGGCGGGATAAGGCCCGCACCCAGGTCTTATGCTTCTCCTCGGGACTCTGGGAGGCAAACTTCTTCTGCAATTTCTTCCACATGCCTTTGTTCATTTCCTTAAACTCTTCCAAGGTGTCTTGTGTTTGAAGTAATTTGAATGGAGCCATGCTAAGCTCTCATACATCTCATCGCAGGCCTCGGGCTCTGCAATCTGCGTATTTTCTCCCTCCCAAAAGGCCTGTGCTACCCGCTGCCGCAGGTAAGCACCCAAGTCCCCGCCCCGTTTGGTCTCGTCCACCGGCCATTCCTCACACAGTTTAAGAAATCGCAGGTAGCGGCTGGCGGCCATTTTGGGCCCCGCGTGTCGCATGTATAGTTTTTAAACAATAAGCATGCTCTCATGCTCTGGACCTTTTGAGACCTCCTTGGATACCTTAGTTTGCCAGAATAAGAATTAGGCAAGGAAGGAATAGGAATTGAGTGGGGCATAAAGGGATTAAGAGGCCTGCATGTATGAAAGTGATAGTGGGTCATGAACTGTGGCCTGTGGTCAATTCAGTTTGTGCACCAAACATGCCAATTGCAACTCCAGGAGTCAGTTCTTGTTCAAATGGAGTTGACATTGACACATTGGCACCTGGATCGGGGTAGACTGAGCTGCTATAGCAAACTGTA